TGAGGGGAAAGGGGGAGCGAGTGGAAATGGGGGAGAGTGGGAAATGGGGGTGAGTGTGGGGAGGGGGATGGGTGTGAAAATGGGGGGGGACGAATGTGGAAAACGGGGCCGGGTGTGAAAAGGGGAATGAGCGTGGAACGGGGGGTGAGTGTGCAAAGGGGGGGGGGCGAGTGTGCAAAGGGGGGGCGAGTGTGCAAAGGGGGCCAAGGGCGGGGGTGAGTGTGCAAGGGGGGTGGGGGGGCCATCAGTGCACCCCCGGTGTGCGTGCAAAGAGCGGGGGGGCTGTGGGTGTGCAAGGAGGGGGGGTCTGACCCCCTGACGCCCCCTCCCCTCCCCCCCCAGGCCGGGCCCCCCCCCGGAGCTGCCCCCCGCCCTCCCCCCCGAGCGTTGGGTCCTGCCCGAGCCCCCCCGGCCCGACCCCGCGGGGCTGCGGCCGCGCCTCGAGCGGCTCGTGGAGGTGCGGGGGGCGTGGGGGGCGTGGGGGGCGTGGGGGGGGGGTGAATTGGGGTGAATTTGGGGGGGCTGGGGGGGTTAGGGAGGATTTGGGGAGAGGGAGCTTGGAGGAATTGAGGGGTGAGGGGAGACTGGGGGTGAGGGGAGGGGTCCGTGGGGAGAGTTTTGGGGTTCAAGGGGTCCCGAGAGATTGGGGGGGGGGCTGCGGTGACATTTTGGGGGTCTCGGGGGGGGGTCTCGGAGAGGCTCCGAGGTTAATTTGGTTTTTTTTTGGGGGGGGGTCTCAGTCCATTTTCCGGAACTTCGACGTGGACGGGGACGGGCGGATCTCGGTGGAGGAATTTGGGATCGTGCGGGAAAACTTCCCCCACCTGCCCCCCCTGGGGGAGCTGGACACCGACATGTGAGACCCCCAAACCCCCCCGGGACCCCCAAACCCGCCAGAGCCCCCCCGGGACCCCCAAACCCGCCAGAGCCCCCCTCGGGACCCCCAAACCGCCCAGAGCCCCCCCGGGACCCCCAGAGCCGCCCCGGGACCCCCAAACCCCCCAGAGCCCCCCCGGGATCCCCAAACCCCCCAGAGCCCCCCCGGGACCCCCAAAACCCCCGGGACCCCCAAACCCCCCGGGACCCCCAAAGCCCCCAGTGTCCCCCCGGGACCCCCAGAGCCGCCCCGGGACCCCCAAACCCCCCAGAGCCCCCCCGCGATCCCCAAACCCCCCAGAGCCCCCCCAAACCCCCTAGAGCCCCCCCGGGACCCCCAAACCCCCCAGAGACCCCCCGGGATCCCCAAACCCCCCCGGGATCCCCAAACCCCCCCGGGACCCCCAAACCCCCACCAGGTCCCCAAATCTCCCCTGAGTCCCCACCTGCCCCCCCCGGGGATGAGCCGAGACCCCCCCAGGGACCCCCAAAACCCCGCTGACCCCCCCCCCGTGTCCCCCCAGGGACGGGGGGCTCAGCCGGGGGGAGGTTCTGGATTATTTCCTGCGCTGCAGCCAGGGACCCCCCCCGGGACCCCCCCACAATTTTCGGGGGCTGCGGGGGCTCCGCGCGGGGCCCTGCGAGACCTGCGGGAAACTGGTGAGTGCCCGACCCCCCAAAATCCCCCCAAAATCCCCTCAAAATCCCCCCAAAATCCCCCCCAAAATCCCCCCAAAATCCCCCAAAATCCCCCCCAAAATCCCCCCCAAATCCCCCCCAAAATCCCCCCAAAATCCCCACAAAATCCCCCCCCCAAATCCCCCCAAAAAATCCCCCGAAATCCCCCCAAATCTCCCCGAAATCCCCCAAAATCCCCCCAAAATCCCCCCATAATCCCCCCCAAAATCCCCCAAAATCCCCCCAAATCCCCCCAAATCCCCCCAAAATCCCCCCCAAATCCCTCCAAAATCCCCCCAAAATCCCCCCAAAATCCCCCCCAAAACCCCCTCAAAATCCCCCAAAATCCCCCCAAAATCCCCCCAAATCCCCCCCCCCCACATTCCCCCGCCCCCACCGAGCCCGGCTGGGGAATGGGGACCCCCCCCCGAACGGGGGCGACCCCCCCTGACCCTTCCCTCCCTGCCCCCCCCCCCCAGATTTGGGGTCTGCACAAGGATGGGATGGAGTGCAGCGGTGAGTGGGGGGTCCTGGGGGGTCTGGGGGGGTCTGGGGGGGTCCTGGGGGGTCTGGGGGGACCTGGGGGGTTCCTGGGGGTCTGGGGGGGTCTGGGGGCTGGGAGAGGGGGGGGCTCTGGGTGTGACGGCGGTTTTTGGGGCGGTTTTTGGGGGGCTCTGGGTGCGATGGGGTTTTGGGGGCGGTTTTTGGGGGGGCTCTGGGTGCGATGGGGGTTTTGGGGGGTCTCTGTGTGTGACGGGGGTTTTTGGGGGGTCTCTGGGTGCGAGGGGGGTTTTGGGGGGTCTCTGGGTGCAATGGGGGTTTTGGGGCAGTTTTCGGGGGTCTCTGGGTGCGATGGGGGTTTTGGGGGGCGGTTTTTGGGGGGGCTCTGGGTGCGATGGGGGTTTGGGGGCGGTTTTGGGGCAGTTTTTGGGGGTCTCTGGGTGCGATGGGGGTTTGGGGGTGGTTTTAGGGGGTCTCTGGGTGCGAGGGGGGTTTGGGGGCGGTTTTTGGGGGGGCTCTGAGTGCGATGGGGGTTTGGGGGCAGTTTTCGGGGGTCTCTGGGTGTGATGGGGATTTGGGGGGTCTCTGTGTGTGACGGGGGTTTTTGGGGGGTCTCTGGGTGCGAGGGGGTTTGGGGCGGTTTTTGGGGGTCTCTGGGGGTCTCTGGGTGCAATGGGGGTTTTGGGGCAGTTTTCGGGGGTCTCTGGGTGCGAGGGGGTTTGGGGCGGTTTTTGGGGGTCTCTGGGGGTCTCTGGGTGCGATGGCGGTTTGGGGCAGTTTTCGGGGGTCTCTGGGTGCGATGAGGGGTCCCCGCGCCCCCCCAGGCTGCGGCCTGCGCTGTCACATCGCCTGTCGGGACCGGCTGCACCCCGAATGTCGCCGCCGGGCCCGGAGCGTCGCCGCTGCCCCCCCGGACCCCCCCGGGCCCCCCAAATCCCGGCCCCGCTCCTTCAGCCTCTCCCTGCCCTGGCCCCGCCGCGCCGCGCTGCGCCCCGCGGGTGGGACCCCAAAACTCGCCCCCCTCCCCCCCCCCATGGGACCCCCATTGAGGGGACCCTGAGGTGGCGGGGACCCCAAAAATGACCCCCCCGACCCCCCCAGACCCCCCCGAGGAGGCGCCGGGGGACGAGGACGGAGTTTTTGACACCCACCTGTGACAGGTACGGGGGGGTGGGGGGCCGGGACCCCCAAATTGGGGTCCTGGTGTCGGGGTCCCTCCAAATCGGGGGGTCAGACACCTGGGACCCCCCCCAAATTGGGGTCCTGGTGTCGGGGTCCCTCCAAATCGGGGGGGTCAGACACCTGGGACCCCCCCCCAAATTGGGGTCCTGGACCTTGGGGTCTCATCCTAACCCCCCGCCCAATTTCCACAGGGTCCCGGAGGCTCCAGCCCCCCCTCACCCCCCCTCACCCCATGGATTTTGGGGGTCCCCCCACCCCCCTCGCGATTTGGGGGTGGGTTTGGGGGGCTCTGCGTGTCCCGTGGGAATAAACTCCGTGTCCGTGGGTCCGAGTGGGGGTCCCTGCGTGGGGCTGGGGGGGGAGGGTGAATTGGGGGGGGTCCTGTGGGGCAGCGTGAGACCCCCGGCCCGGGGGGGACCTGGGGGGGATTTGGGGGGTTTGGGGTGATTATTTGGGGTTTGGGGTGATGTTTTCGGGGGTTTGGGGTGATGATTTTGGGGGGTTTGGGGTGATGATTTGGGGGGTTTGGGGTGATGTTTTCGGGGGTTTGGGGTGATTATTTTGGGGGTTTGGGGCGATGTTTTGGGGGGTTTGGGGGGATGATTTTGGGGGTGTTGGGGTGACAATTTTGGGGGAATTTGGGGTGATGATTTGGGGGGTTTGGGGTGATGTTTTGGGGGAGTTTGGGGTGATGATTTTGGGGAGTTTGGGGTGACGATTTGGGGGGTTTGGGGCGATGATTTTGGGGGGTTTGAGGTGATGATTTTGGGGGGATTTGGGGTGATGATTTTGGGGGGTTTGGGGTGATGTTTTGGGGGGGTTTGGGGTGATGATTTTCGGGGGATTGGGGTGACGATTTTGGGGGGATTTGGGGTGATGTTTTGGGGGGTTTGGGGTGATGTTTTGGGGGGTTTGGGGTGATGTTTTGGGGGGGTTTGGGGTGATGTTTTGGGGGGTTTGGGGTGATTATTTTGGGGTTTGGAGTGATGATTTTGGGGGGTTTGGGGCGATGTTTTGGGGGATTTGGGGTGATGATTTTGGGGGTGTTGGGGTGACGATTTTGGGGGATTTGGGGTGATGATTTTGGGGGGTTTGGGGTGATGATTTTGGGGGGATTTGGGGCGATGATTTTGGGGGGTTTGGGGTGATGATTTTGGGGGGTTTGGGGTGATGATTTTGGGGGGATTTGGGGTGATGATTTTGGGGGGTTTTGGGTGATGATTTTGGGGGGTTTGGGGTGATGATTTTGGGGGGGTTGGGGTGATGATTTTGGGGGGATTTGGGGTGATGATTTTGGGGGATTTGGGGCGATGATTTTGGGGGGGTTGGGGTGATGATTTTGGGGGGTTTGGGGTGATGATTTGGGGGGAGTTTGGGATGATGATTTGGGGGGGTTTGGGGTGATGATTTTGGGGGGTTTGGGGCGATGATTTGTGGGGGGGTTGGGGCGATGTTTTGGGGGGATTTGGGGTGATGATTTTGGGGGGTTTGGGGTGATGATTTGGGGGGTTTGGGGTGATGATTTTGGGGGGTTTGGGGTGATGATTTTGGGGGGTTTGGGGTGATTATTTTGGGGGTTTGGGGTGATTTCTGGGGGGGGGTTGGGGCGATGTCTCGGGGGGGGGGTGGGGGTTTGTGGGCGGTAGCGGGGGGGTTTTTGGGGGGGGGGCGGGGGGCGGTGGGGGGCCGGGGTGGGGGCGGGGGGCTGCGGGCGCGCGCCGCTCCGGAGCCGTGCGCGTGCCCGGGGCGGGCGGGGGCTGCGGGAGCGGCGGGAGCGGCGGGAGCGGGGCCGCGGCCGGGACCGCCCGGGGCAGGTACCGGAGAGGGGGGGGCCGGTACCGGAGAGGGGCGGGGGGACACGGAGGGGACCCCGGGGGGGGCGGGAGGGCGGTGGGGGGCGCGGGGAGGGGAGGGACGCGCAGAGATGGGGGGGGGGGTGCGGGGTTTTGGTGAGGGGGGGGTTGGGGGGCTCAGGATGGAGGGGGATGTGGGGGGAGGTTTGGGGGGGAGGGGGGATGTGGGGAGAGGGGGAGGATGATGAGGGTCCGGAGAGGGGGGGAGGGTTAGGAATGGGGGGGGGGGGGGATTATGGGGGGCTCAGGGAGGGATGGGGGGGTTGGGGGTCACATCCCCCCCTCCCCCCATCGCCAGGCGGGGTTTGGGGGGGCTCCGGAGCAGGTGGGGGGAGGAGGAAGGGCCGGGGCTCCCCCACCCCGGGGAGGGGCCGCATCGCCCCCTCCCCCACTGCAGGGTCTGGGGGGCCGCATCCCCCCTCCCCCCCCGCCCTGCGCGGCCCCCGAACCCCCCGCGGAATTCGGGGCGCTCATCCCGCCCCTCCCCCACTGCGGGGGGCTCACCCAACCCCCCAAACCCCCCCAAACCCCCCCAAAACCCCCCCGGGCCCCCCCCGGCCGCGGGGCCTGCGCTGGGCGTGCAGCACACGCGTGTGCGCGGGGCCCGGCCCCACGGGCGGCGTCACGCGGGGCACACGCGTGTGAGCGGGGGGGGGTCGGGGGTGTGCAAGGGCTGCGAGAGGCGGGTTTGGGGGTGCACGAGAGCCCGCAGGCGGTTTTGGGGTGCAGGAGAGCCCGCAGGGTGTCTGCAGGAGGTTTTTGGGGTGCACGAGAGCTCACAGGCAGTTTTTGGGGTGCTGGAGAGGTCGCAGGCGGTTTGCAGGTGGTTTTTGGGGTGCACAAGAGCCCACAGGGTGTTTGCAGGAGGTTTTTGGGGTGTACAAGAGCCCACAGGTGGTTTTTGGGGTGCAGGAGAGCCCGCAGGGTGTTTGCAGGTGGTTTTTGGGGTGTACAAGAGCTCACAGGCGGTTTTTGGGGTGCACGAGAGCCCTCAGGGTGTCTGCGGGCGGTTTTTGGGGTGTAAGGGGTGTGGGAGGGAGCTGTGCCCGGTTCTGGGGTGTGCAAGGACTGGGTGGGTGCATTTTTGGGGTGCACGTGGAGGGAGGGGTGTTAAACTGGGGAACCACGAGCGTGCAAGGGGAGTGTGCACAGATTTGGGGTGCACACGAGCGTGCAGGGTGTGTGTGTTTAGTTTTGGGGTGCACACGAGCGTGCAGGGTGTGTGTGTTTGGTTTTGGGGTGCACACGAGCCTGGGTGTGTTTCGGGGTGCACGTGTGCAAACCCGCGGTGCACACGCGTGTTCAAGGGGGGGTTCAGGCCAGGCCGGGGGCACACGCGGGTGTTTTGGGGTGGGGGGTGGTTCTCCCGAGCCCGGGGGTCCCTGAGCGTGTGCGGGTGTGCAGGGGTGGGGGTGAGCGTGCAAGGGGTGCACACCTGGGGGGGGCGTGGCTGGGGGGGGCACGGGGTGTGTGCGAGCGGGTGTGCAAGGCGGGGTCGCTCACACCTGAGGGGCACACGCGTGTGCAAGGGCGTGTCCCTTTCCGCGGGGGGGGGGTTTGAGGGGGTCCCCGCACCCCGGGGTGCCCCCCCCCCCCCCCCCCCCCCCCCGGGGCCGTCTCGTCCCCGTGACCTTCAGGGGGACACGGGTGGTCGTGTGCCCCTCCCCCACCCGCAGCCCCCCGAAAGTGCCCCCGGGGGGGGCTCAGAGGGTTGGGGGGGGGGTTCCTCCTATGGACCCCCCCATAGACCCCTCTGACCCCCCCCGGGGTGTCCCCTGGCTCTGGGGGTTCCTCAATTCCCCCACAGGCCCCCCAAGCCCCCCCGACCCCCTCTAAGGGGCCCAGGGGTCCGCGTGCCCCCTCCCCCCCTTTATCCGCCATCAGTGATCGATAATTAATTAATTAATGACCCCCGGGGGGGTACGGACACCCATGGAGGGGGAGGGGGGAACCCAGGCCCGGGTCCCTCCCCCCGAGGGTCCCTGGGGGTCTCTGGGGGTTCCCCCCCAGCCCGAGCCCCCCCACGGGGTGGGGGTGGGGGGGGCCAAGGTGGGGGTCGCTGTCATCCCCCCTCCCCCCCCCCCAGGTGCAGCAGTTAATGTGATTGGCTAATTATGCGCTGCATGTTAACGAGCCCCATTAGCCAACGTGGGGGGGTTATAAATAACCTGGGGGCTCATTTGCATAATGCCAGGGCCCAGGTTGCCGCGGTGACCGACCCCCCCCTTCCCCCCCCTCATCACGGGGTTAATTAACGCGCTGATAACGAAGTGGGGGGGGGGCCCGGTTGCCCATCCCCCCATCCCTGGCTGTCACCCCCCCTCTCAGAGCCCCCCCTGACCGTGTCTCCCCCCCCAGGTGCCTCCGGACCCCCGGCCAGGCCATCGCCGCCCGCTGGGGCCACCCATGCGGCTGTGAGAGGACGGGGGTGGCCGGGCCCCCCAGGGCCCCCCCAGGGCCCCCCAAGCCCCGCAGCCAGCCCAGGCGCCATGACCTGTCCGGTCACTGAGGGACCCCCGGCGCCCGGGGGCCACCGAGAGACCCGAGCCCACCCGGGCCCCGTGCCCCACCCGGGCCCTGTGCCCCACCCGGGCTCTGTGCCCCACCCGGGCCCCGTGCCCCACCCGGGCTCTGTGCCCCACCTGGGCTCTGTGCCCCACCCGGGCTCTGTGCCCCACCCGGGCCCCGCCGTCCCTCGAGGCTCTGAGGGCCACCAAGAGACCAAAGCCCACCTGGGCTCCGCGGCCACCAGAGCATCCATGGCCAGCTGGACCCCTGCGCTCAGCCAGGACCACCGAGAGACTCAGGCCCACCTGGACTCTGTGCCCCACCTGGGCTCTGTGCCCCACCTGGGCTCTGTGCCCCACCTGAGCTCTGCGCCCCACCTGGGCTCCCACGTGGAGACCGAGGCCCACCTGGGCTTCGTGGGCATCCAGGACCACCTGGAGATGAAGGAGCATCAGGAGCCCGGGGCCAGCCGAGCTTCTGCGGGCAACCAGGACCACCCCGAGCCCGACATCGACGTCCCGCCGGACTCCGAGGTCAACCAGGGCTCCGTGGCTCGCGTAGACCCCAAGGGCCACCAAGAACTCGCCCCCTCCCAGGCCTCCGAGGACCCCCAAGAGCCCAAGGTCACCCAGGGTCCCGTGGCCAGCCAAAAGACCAAGGTCAACCAAAGCCCCACGGCCCCACTAGAGGCCAAGGTCAATGAAGACCCCGTGGTATGTTTAGACTTGAGGGTCCACCAAGCCCCTGTGGCCACCCCAGCCGCCGAGGACCCCCGAGCCCCCCTGGACCACCAGGACAGCCAGGCTGACCGAGCCCCGGTGGCTCTTAGAGACCGGAATGTCCACCAAGCCCCCGTGGCCGAGCACAGCCCCGCGGACGCCCAAAAAACCGAGGTCAAGCCCGGCCCTCTGGACCCGAGGGTGCCCCTGGGGACCAGGGGCGGCTGCCTGGGGACCGAGCGCCACCGACCCCCCGTGCCCACCTGGGCCGCCCCGGCCCCCCGCCCGTGTGCCCGCGCCCCCTCGGGCGCCCGCCTGGGGCTGGTGCTGCTGACGCTGGGGTCCCTCCTGCTGCCCTGCGCCCGGGGCTCGGCGCTGGAGTTCGGGGGCGCGCCGGGGCAGTGGGCGCGCTACGGGCGGTGGGCGCCGGGCGCGGGGGGCCAGCTCAGCTTCCGCCTCAAGACCAACGTGACGCGGGCGCTGCTGCTCTACCTGGATGACGGCGGCAACTGTGACTTCCTGGAGCTGCTGGTGGCCGAGGGGCGGCTGCGGCTGCGCTTCGCCATCGCCTGCGCCGAGCCCGCCACGCTGGAGCCCCCGGCGCCGGTCAGCGACGGCCGCTGGCACGCGGTGCTGCTGACGCGGCAGGCGCGGCACGCGGCGCTGGCCGTGGACGGGGAGGCGCGGGCGGCCGCCGTGCGCTCCAAGCGCCCCGACATGGCCGTGGCCAGCGACCTGTTCGTCGGGGGGATCCCGCCCGACGTGCGGCTCTCGGCGCTGACGCTCAGCACCGTCAAGTACGAGCCGCCCTTCCGCGGGTGGGTGGCCGACCTGCGGGTGGGCGACGCGCCGGCCGCGCTGCTGGGCGCCCAGGGGGTCCGGGGTGACGGGGACGAGCGCTGCGCCCACCACCCGCCCTGCGCCCACGGCGGCCGCTGCACCCTGCGCCGTGGGGAGCCCCGCTGCGACTGCGCCGGCACCGGCCACCGCGGGCCCTTCTGCGAGGAAGGTGAGGGCGCAGCGGGGTCGGGAGGGGTGGGGTGGGCGCAGAAGCAGCTCGGGAGCCTCATCTCCTTGTGTTTCTTCACTGCGTTGGGCACCTCCACGTCTCGGTGTCATCGTGTCCTTGAGGCCCTCCCCATCTCCTGGCGTTGCGTATCCTCCTGTTGTCACCTCCTTGTGTTTCTCCATGGCTCCGTGCAGTGTCCGTCTTCGTGGCTGTGTTTGTCCTCGTGTCCTTCACGGCTTTGGGTGGCTCTGTGTTCCTCCATCGCTGGTTTTGGGTGTCTTTGTGCTTCTCTGTGTCCCCTTGGCCTCGTGGCACCGTGCCCTCCACAGCCGCCCGTCCTCGTGGTGCTGGGCCTTGGGCGCTCCGTGTGTCCTCCATGACTTCCTGGTGTCCTCGTGGCATTTTGTCCTCGTGGTGTTTGTTGTGTGTCCTTGTGTCCTTCCTGTCCTCGTGGCGCTGGGCACACCCACGGCGTCGAACGGCCTCGTGGTGCTGGTCATTGTCACGCTGTCCCTGTGTCACGCTGTCCCCGTGTCACGCTGTCCCCATGTCACGCTGTCCTTGTGTCACGCTGTCCCTGTGTCTTGCTGTCCCCATGTCACTCTGTCCCCGTGTCACGCTGTCCCCGTGTCACGCTGTCCTCGTGTCACGGCACTCCCGTGTTCTTCCACCCTCATGGGGTTCTGTGTCTCCTCTGTGTCCTCCTGGTGTTGTGTCCTTGAGTTGCTCCGTGTCCTTGTGTCCTCCTGGTGTCACCCATCCTGGTGTCACCCATCCTGGTGTCACCCATCCTGGTGTCACCCATCCTGGTGTCACCCAGTGTTCTTGTGTCCTCTTTGGGTCACCCACCCTTGTGCCATCCATCCTCATGTCACCCATCATTGTGTCCTCCTGGTGTCACCCACCATCCTGGTGTCACCCATCTTTTTGTCACCCATCCTCGTGACCTTCTGGTGTCACCCACCCTTGTGTCACCCAATGTCCTTGTGTCACCCATCCTTGTGTCCTCCTGGTGTCACCCATCCTGGTGTCACCCGGTGTCCTCCTGCCATTCCTCGTGTCCTGGTGTCTCCTCACCCTCGAGACGTTGCCCATCCACACGTGACCTGGGGGTCCCCTTGTCCCCCCCTTGTCCCCCCATCCTCCCCACCCCCGTTTTGCACGCCCCTGTGCCCGTGCGAGCCCTCGTGTGACACGGCTGGCTGGGGGTGACCCTGCTGGGGGGGGGGTGGGGGTTTGGGGACCCCCCCAGCCCCACCCATGGCGTCACCCCCCCGTGTTTTCTCCTCCCGCTGTCCCCACGCGCCCTAGTGTCCCCGCCTGTCCCCCGCCCTGGCGTGGGCTGGGTGTCCCCGCGGCGCCGGTGCCGGTGCCAGCCGGGCGTGGCCGGGGGGGTTTCTCGTGCCACCCCGCCCTCGTGCCAACACGCCCTCGCACACGTTCCCGGGGACAACCGCCGGTGTCACCGTGGCGACGGCATCCTCCGGGCGCGTTGCCAGGGCCGGTTGCCATGGCGCCGCCGGGGCTGGGTACCCGTTGCCATGGAGACGCCCGGGCCTGTCTCCCTGGCGACGGTTGTCACGGCACTGCCGGATGCTCCCGCCACGTCCTTGAGGGGGGACAGGAATCGGGTGGGCCTGGAGGGTGACCGGGGGACTGGGAGGGCCCTGGGGTGCTGTGGGGCACCCTGTGGGGTGCAGGGTCCCTATAGGGCACCCTGAGGGCTGTGGGGTCCCTATAGGGTGCCCTATGGGGTCCATGGTGCCCATGGGGTGCAGGCAGGGCTCTCCCGGGTGTGCCATGGGGTGCGGGGTACCTGTGGGGTGCTGTGGGGTGCCCTATAGGGTGCTGAACCCCTGTGGGGTGCCCTGCAGGATGCTGGGTTCCTGTGGGGTGCCCTATAGGGTGCTGAGCCCCTGTGGGGTGCCCTATAGGGTGTGGAGCTCCTGTGGGGTGCCCTATAGGGTGCGGGGTTCCTGTGGGGTGCCCTATAGGGTGCTGAGCCTCTGTGGGGTGCCCTATAGGATGCTGGGTTCCTGTGGGGTGCCCTATACAGTGTGGAGCTCCTGTAGGGTGCCCTATAGGGTGGTAGGTACCTGTGGGGTGCCCTATAGGGTGTTGAGCCCCTGTGGGGTGCCCTATAGGGTGTGGAGCTCCTGTAGGGTGCCCTATAGGGTGCTGTGCCTCTGTGGGGTGCCCTATAGAGTGGTGGGTACCTGTGGGGTGCCCTATAGGGTGCTGAGCCCCTGTGGGGTGCCCTATAGGGTGTGGAGCCCCTGTGGGGTGCCCTATACAGTGCAGGGTTCCAGTGAGGTGCTATGGGGAGCCCTATAGGGTGCGGGGTCCCTGTGGGGCGCTATGGGGTGCCCCATAGGGCTACAGGGTGTGTGCAGGGCATGCAAATCACACCGGGGCGTGCAAACCCCTCCCCCCCATCGTGCCCCGCCCCCAAGGTCACTGCGAGGTCACGGGGTGGGGTCACAGGGACATGGGGGGGGGATGGGGGGGTTGGGGACACGCGTGGGGGGTCCCAGCACTAATTGCTCTGCCCCTCCCCCCCTGCTGCCCCCCGGGACCCCCAGAGGAAGAACCCGCGGTGGAAGGTGAGTGCGGGAGGGGATTTTGGGGGGTTTTGGGGGGGTTTGGGGGATTTTGGGGGGGTTTGGGGGTGTGGGCGTGCAAGGCCCCGTGTCACACCTGGGCTGGGGGGGTCTCACCCAGGTGTGTGCAAGGGGCTCCAGGTGTGCAAATCCCGGGGTCGGGGGTCCAGAGGGGCGTGGCCTGCGCGGCAGGGGGTGTGGTTTATGCAAAACAGCTCCGAGGGGCGGGGCTTGGCGCTCGTGCCGAGCACGTGGCTCCCGTGACGCTCGCGCAGGGGGCGGGGCCACGGGGGGGGCGCCACCTGCAGGTCCCGACCATTACGTCACTGCCCTGCGGGCCCAATAGGATGGGGACATGCAAATGAAACCGGCACCGCCGAGCCAATTAAGATTGTGCGATGCGGTGGGGGCGGAGATATGCAAATCGCAGCATCGCCGGCAGCCAATGGGAGGAGGGAGCGATGAGGCTGCTCTGGATTGGCTGAGCCCAGTCCCAAAGGGGCGGAGCGTGGTTTATCGGAGGGGGCGTGGCCAGAGCGAGGGGCGGGGCTTGCGCCCCGCGTGCCCCGCACGAGGGTCCCGGGGTGGGGGAGGGTCCCCGCGCCAGGGGCGGCCCCGCCCCCCCGTGTCTCATCCCCTCCCCCACCCCGGCTTTTCCCCGAAAAACCTCGGAAAAAGGGGAAAAACCCGGGGGGAGGGGGGGGGGGGGGGGGAGGGGCAGGGGAGGGGCGGCGCTTCCCGCGTGGCCCCGCCCCCCCCGCGCTTGTCCCCGCCCCTCCCACCCCCCCCACCCCTCCACCCCCCCCCCCGGCATCGCCCGATGCCGTCACAAGTTAAAGGAGGTTTAAGTTGTGACGGGGCCCCTCCCCCACCCGGGGCCCCTCCCCCCCCACCCCCCACCCCGGGGCCGCTCGGGCCTTTCGGTCATTTTGGGTTTTTTGGTTAATTTTTAATTTTTTTAATTATGATTTTTTTGTTATGTTTATAATTTTAAATTAATTTCTCTTTCATTCCCATTTCCCCCTATTTTTCCCATGTTGCCGCTTTTCCTTTACTATTTCCTTTTTTTCCCCCCTTTTTTCTTTTACTTTTCCCGTTATTTTGGCTTTTTCATTATTTTTCCTTTTTTCAGATTATTTTCACTTTTTTATTAATAGCTTTTCTTTTACTATTTTTCATTTTCTCGTGACTTTCTCTTTATTTTGATTATTTCCCCTTTTTTTATGGATTTGGTACTCTTTAAGGTATTTCCCCTTTTAAAGTTATTTTCCAGTTCATTATTTTTCCTTTTATTATTCTTCTCCATTGTTAATTAATAGCTTTCCCCTTTTTTAACATGATCCCCTTATATCATTGTTTTTCCTTTTGAAATTATTTTCCCTCTTTCAATAAATACTTTGAATATTCCCATTTTTATATCAGAGTTCTTTTTTTCGCCTTCATTTTTTCCCCTTCCCTTTGTTACTCTTTTTTTTCATTTTCCCTCTTTGATAATTTTCCCTTTTAGAATTACTTTATTTTCCCCCACTTTTTTCCTTTTTTTTTTTCCTTTTCTCTTTTCCCTTGTGTTGCTGACTCCCCCTTTTTATCAATTTCCTCCTTTCCCTTGCTTTGACCCTTTTCACTTTTTTCCTCTTTTTCCTCCCTTTCCCTCCTTCCTTTTCCTTTCTTCCTTTTTTTCTATTTTTGCCTTTTTCCCCCCATTTCCCCCTTTTCTCTCATTTCCCTCCCTTTCATTTCCTTTCATTATTTTTATTTCCTTCCCCATTTCCTCCCTCAATTTCCCCTTTTCCCTCCCCCCCCGGAGTTTAACCACTTTCCCGTTTTTTCCCCCCAAAACTTTCCCTTTTCCCGCCACTTTTGCTTTCGTTCTCCCGCCCCTCCCCCCCTTTCCCACGCCCCTCCCCCTCCCCTCCCCTCCCCCCCCAGGTCCCGCCCACCTGCGAGTCACCGGCCAAGGTAAAGACGCGCCCTCGGGCCCCTCCCCCACCCTCATCACCCTCATCATCCTCGCCCCTCCCCCCCCCTCCCCCCCATCCCCCCATCGTGTCTGTGGCTTGTGCGACACGGGGGGAGGGGCGGCCGCCTCGCGCGGGGACGGGGGGGGGGAGGGGAGGGGAGGGGGCGGCCCCTCGTGCAAGGGGGGGGATGGGGGGGCTGTGACCCCTTGCACGAGGGGCGGGAGGGCGGGGGGAGGGGTCTGAACCCCTCCCCCCACAGGAGGAGGGGCTTGGGGGGTCCTCACCCCCCCCCTCGAGGAGGGGGAGGGGGCCGGGGGTCCCTGCACGGGGTGGGGGAGGGGTCCTTGCACGAGGACCGAGGGTCCCCTTGCACCAATAGGTGTGTGTGGGGGGGTGGGGTGCGAGTGCCTCCCCCTCAGGGCACACCTGGGCACACCTGGGCACACCTGGGCACACCAGGGCACACCTGGGCACACCTGGGCACACCTGGGCCCCGCCCTGACGTGCCCCTCCCCCAGGGCCCGCCGAGGTCGCCGAGGGGGGGCCCGGCCGCGGCGCCGGCGAGATCCAGCAAGCGGCCAAAGGTCAGTGAGGGTCAGCGGGACCCCCCCAGGCACCCCTGGGACACCCAGGAGCCCCAAAACCCATACCTGGGACACCCCAGGACCCCCAAACTCCCCACGCACCCCTGGGACACCCCAGGACCCCCAAAACCCACATCTGGCATACCCCAGGACCCCCAAACTCCCCATGCACCTCTAGAACACCCCAGGACCCCCCAAAACCCACACCTGGGACACCCTAAAACCTCCCAGGAGCCCCCAAACCCCACACCTGTGCACACCTGGGACACCCCAGAACCTCCCAGGGCCCTCCACACTCACCTGGGACCCTACAACAATGTCCCTGTGGTGGGGTCACCGTTGTGATGTCCCCCTCACAACGTCCCCATGGCCATGTCCCGATGTCCCCATGGCCACGTCCCGATGTCCCCATGGCCATGTCCTGATGTCCCCATGGTCACGTCCCGATGTCCCCATGGCGCCCCTGGTCAATGTCCCCATGCAAGGTCCCCGCTGATGGGTTCCCATCACGACGTCCCCACCACGAGGTCCCCACGTGAGGTCTGGTACAAGACCCTACAGTGATGTCCCCACAGTGATGTCCCCACGCTGTGTCCCTGGCGCCAGGTTCCTCGTGCAAGGTCCCCATCGCAGTGTCCTCATGCCGATGTCCCCACGACAAGGTTCTCATGCCAAAGTCCCCGTGACAAGGTCCTCACGGCAAAGTCCCCTTCGCCGTGTCCCCAGTGACAACGTCCCCATCACAATGTCCCTGTGCAAGTCCCTGTTACGATGTCCCCACGACAAGGTCCTTGTTGGAAAGTCCCCATGACAAGGTCCTTGTTGGAGAGTCCCCATTGTCACATCCCTGGTGCCAGGACTCCTCTGGGATGTCCCCATCGCAATGTCCCCATCACAATGTCGTTTTTGCGCTGTCCCCATGATGACGTCCTCATTGGAAGGTCCCCATTGCCACGTCCCTGGTTCACGGTCCCCACAAGAATGTCCCCATGAAAATGTCCCCATCACAGTGTCCCCATGAGAATGTCTCCATCACAACATCGCCATCACAGTGTCACCATGACAATGTCCCCCTGATGACGTCCCCATGACAATGTCCCCATGACAACGTCCCCATCACAACATCCCCAGGACAACGTCCCCATCACAACGTCCCCATCACACCGTCCCCATCACAACATCCCCATGACAACATCCCCATCACAACGTCCCCAGGACAACGTCCCCATCACAACGTCCCCATGACAATGTCCTCATCCCAACATCCCCATGACAACGTCCCCAAGACACTGTCCCCATCACAACGTCCCCATCACAACATCCCTATGATACTGTCCCCCTGATGATGTCCCCATCACAACGTCCCCATGACAACGTCCCCATCACAACATCCCCATCACAACATCCCCATCACAACATCCCCATGACAATGTCCTCATCCCAACATCCCCATGACAACGTCCCCAAGACACTGTCCCCATCACAACGTCCCCATCACAACATCCCTATGATACTGTCCCCCTGATGATGTCCCCATCACAACGTCCCCATGACAACGTCCCCATCACAACATCCCCATCACAACATCCCCATCACAACATCCCCATCACAACATCCCCATCACAACATCCCCATCACAACGTCCCCATCACAACGTCCCCATCCCAACATCCCCATGACAATGTCCCCATCACAACGTCCCCATCACACCGTCCCCATCACAACATCCCCATCCCAACATCCCCATGACAACGTCCCCATCACAATGTCCCCATCACAACGTCCCCATGACAATGTCCCCATGACAACGTCCCCATCACAACGTCCCCATCACAACGTCCCCATGACAACGTCCCCATCACAACGTCCCCATCACAACGTCCCCATTACACCGTCCCCCAATGACGTCCCCATCACAACATCCCCATCACACCGTCCCCATCACAACATCCCCATCCCAACATCCCCATCACAACGTCCCCATCCCAACATCCCCATGACAATGTCCCCATCCCAACATCCCCATGACAATGTCCCCATTACACCGTCCCCATTACACCGTCCCCCGATGACATCCCCATCACAATGTCCCCATGACAACGTCCCCATGACAACATCCCCATCACAACATCCCCATCACACCGTCCCCATCACACTGTCCCCCGATGACATCCCCATCACAACGTCCCCATCACAATGTCTCCATCACACCGTCCCCATGACAACATCCCCATCACAACGTCCCCATCACAATGTCTCCATCACACCGTCCCCATCACAACATCCCCATCACAACATCCCCATGACAATGTCCCCATCACACCGTCCCCCAATGACGTCCCCATGACGCCTCCTTGTCACAACCTCCCCATCTCCTGGCGCCAACACCCACCGACACCCCCCACACCACACCCCCCTCGCCGACCTCCCCGCTCAACGTCCCCACACCGCGTCCCCGCTGTCCCCCCGCCAGGCCGCGCCGAGTACGTGGCCACGTTCCGGGGCAGCGAGTTCTTCTGCTACGACGTGTCGCGGTCGCCGGTGCAGAGCAGCGCGGACGAGCTGGCGCTGGCGTTCCGCACGCGGCAGCGCCACGGGCTCCTGCTGCACACCGGCCGCGCCGCCGACTTCCTGAACCTGTCGCTCAAGGCCGGCGCCGTGTGGCTCGTCATCAACCTGGGCGCCGGCGCCTTCGAGGCGCTGGTGGAGCCCGTCAACGGCAAGTTCCACGACGGCGGCTGGCACCACGTGCGCGTCACGCGCAACCTGCGGCAGGTACGGCGGGGAGGGGAGGGGGGAGGGCTGGAGGGGCGGTGGGGAGCGTGGGGTGACCGCTCGAGGGGTCACCTTGGGCAGCTCCCCAACTGGGAGCACTGGGAGCCTTGGGCAGCTCCCCAGCTGGGAGCACTGGGAGCGATGGTTGGCTTGGGTAGCTCCTCAACTGGGAGCACTGGGAGTGATGGTTGGCTTTGGCAGCTCCCCAACTGGGAGTACTGGGAGCGATGGTTGGCTTGGGCAGCTCCTCAACTGGGAGCACTGGGAGCACTGGGAGTGATGGTTGGCTTGGGGCAGCTCCCCAACTGGGAGCACTGGGAGCCTTGGGCAGCTCCTCAACTGGGAGCACTGGGAGCGATGATTGGCTTTGGGCAGCTCCCCAACTGGGAGCACTGGGAGCCTTGGGCAGCTCCCCAACTGGGAGCACTGGGAGCCTTGGGCTGCTCCCCAACTGGGAGTACTGGGAGCCTCTGGCAGCTCCCCAACTGGGAGCACTGGGAGCCTTGGGCTGCTCCCCAGCTGGGAGCACTGGGAGTGATGGTTGGCTTGGGGCAGCTCCCCAACTGGGAGCACTGGGAGCCTTGGGCAGCTCCCCAACTGGGAGCACTGGGAGCCTTGGGCAGCTCCTCAACTGGGAGCACTGGGAGCGATGATTGGCTTTGGGCTGCTCCCCAACTGGGAGCACTGGGAGCGATGGTTGGCTTGGGGCAGCTCCCCAACTGGGAGCACTGGGAGCGATGATTGGCTTGGGGCAGCTTCTCAACTGGGAGCACTGGGAGCCTTGGGCAGCTCCCCAGCTGGGAGCACTGGGAGTGATGGTTGGCTTTGGCAGCTCCCCAACTGGGAGCACTGGGAGCGATCATTGCCGTGATCAGCTCTCCAACTGGGAGCACTGGGCAGCCACCCAATGGCTTGTCCTGGCCAGTTCCCCAACTGGGAGCACTGGGATGGGACTCCTGGCCAACCACCCCAACTGGCACCACTGAGCATTTTGATGAGCTCCCCAACTGGGAGCACTGGGAGCAATGGGCACCTTGGTCAACTGCCCAACTGGGAGCACTGGTTGTGCTGGTCGGCCACCCAACTGGGAGTGATGGACACGTTGGCCAGCCACCCAACTGGGAGCACTGGGAGCACTGGGTGTGATGCTCAAGCACCCAATTGGGAGGACTGGGAGCACTGGGTGTCATTCTCGAGCACCCAACTGGGAGCACTGGGAGCACTGGGAATCTTGCTCGAGCACCCAACTGGGAGCACTGCGTGTCATTCTCAAGCACCCAACTGGGAGCACTGGGAGCACTGGGAATCTTGTTTGAGCACCCAACTGGGAGCACTGGGAGCACTGGGTGTGATGCTCAAGCACCCAACTGGGAGCACTGGGAATCTTGCTCAAGCGCCCAACTGGGAGCACTGGGAATCTTGCTCGAGCGCCCAACTGGGAGCACTGGGTGTCATTCTCGAGCACCCAACTGGGAGCACTGGGAGCACTGGACATGCTGCTCAACCACCCCACCGGCAGCACCGCCTGCAGGATCTCTCCCCAACTGGGAGCACTGGTTCCATGGACCCTCCCAAACTGGGAGCACTGGACACACGAGGAGGGGGAGGGGTTCTCTGCCCAACCCCCACGGGGGGATGGGTGGGGGTGACCGGTGGAGTTCGGGGGTCCCCCCCCCCCCCTTTTCTGACAACTCTCTGCTTCTCTCCCCCCTCCCCCACAAGGTGGGCGCCGCCCCTCCCCCTCCGTGCAACGCCCCACCCCCACCCCCTCCTCGTGCCACGCCCCTCCCCCCTGTGTGTGCGCGTGCCACTAACACGCTTCCCCTCCCCCACCCCGCGGGGCCCCCCCCCACTAACCTCCCGTCCCCCACTAATCCTGGGGGGGCCCCCCCTTAACAAAAACAACCCCAAATCCCCCTCCCCATCCCCGCCAAAAACAAAACAAAACCCCAAAACCCCGCGCCCCCACCCCAAAAAAGCGCCCCCCAAAACGTCACGTTTGTGTTTTGTCCTTCTCTCGCCGCCAGCACGCAGGGATCGGACACGCTATGGTAAACAAACTGCATTACCTGGTAGTTATCACTCTATTGTTACTCCTTGGCTTCGCCGTGGCCCCGCTCCCGACCTTTTGGGGCCGATCCGGGGGATTTTGGGCAAAAAAAAAATTTTCACCCATCCGCCATCTTCGCAGGCCGAGCTTTGGCTCATCCACCCCCGACCCCCTTCATGGCAAAATAATCGAGAGCTGGTTCTGCCCCCCACCCTCCTCTTCCTCCCACCCCACCCAAAATCCTCCCCGGTGGGCGGGCGTCACTCGAGGGGGGCGAGGTGGCGCCTCAACCCATCCGCGACCCCGTTTTTGGGGTGAGTTTTAGCGGTTTCGGGCAATTTTCACCCGTCCACCGTCTCGTGGCTGAGCTGCGGCTCCCTCCTGCCAAAACGAGCTGGTTTTCCCCCAAAAAATCCTTATCTGGGCTCAGGACGGTGATATTTTTTCTCAAGAGAGTTCGACTCCCGCTGTTTTGGGATGAATTTGACGGATTTAGGGCAATTTTTACCCTTCCACCATTTTGTGGCGGAGCATCACCTCCCCGATGCCAAAAATAGCTGGTTTGCCCAAAAAAATCCTTTTTCAGGGTGTGGTTTTCTCGATGGGGTCCCACACTCCCCCCACGTCCCCAACCCGTTTTGGTGTGAATTTTGGAATTTGGGTGATTGGATAAACCCAACACCTGCAGATCCCCGATGCTAAAACCAACTGATTTCCACCCAAAAAGGTCCGGCCGGGCTCAGAAGTTGCCGATTTTCCCCAAGGGGATGATTTGGGCTCCCACTCCCCCATTTTGGGATGAATTTTAGAAAATTTTGGACAATATTTCCCCCCCCACCCCATCCAGGGCATAGCTGCAGCTCCCTGGTCCCCAAACCAGCCGGTTTCACCCCAAAATACAGCCTGGGCTGGGCTCCTTTTCCCCTGGGAAATTTTGTGGCATCCCAGAACAAATTTTTGGGGTGATTTTTTAGGATTTGGAGCAATCTGATACCAATCCCACCCCCCGAAGCAGCCAAGGTTCTGATTCTCCTTAATTTCCCCCCAAAACGTGGTGAGGGCTGGGGGCAGGATGGAGACTCCCAAACGCCTCATTTTGGGCTGAATTCCCAGGATTTCAGGCAATTTCCTCCCATCCTCTCCCTCGTGGCCGAGCGCGGCTCCGCAAGCCCCAAAACCACCCCAAAATTTGGGTTCCCCCCCAAAACCAGCTGCCACTCACAGAGGGGACGTGGGACCCCACCCCCCTCCCCCTTTTTGGGGCGATTCCTTCGGATTTCGCCCCGTTTTTACCAAAACCGGCCTCTTTCACCCCAAACCCTGCCCGAGGGGGTGTCAGGACCCAAAGTGGGGGTTGGGGGATGGGTGATTTTTAAAAAATTTTTATTTTTTTCCGGGGGCTGCCCCCCCCCCCAAATTGAGGATGGAAACGGCGTTTTCAGGACAAGCTGCCGCCCCTCCCCCACCCCCCCCAACCTGCCGCCCCTCCCCCACCCCGCGCAGGCAGCGGGGCCGCCCCTCCCCCCCCCCAAAGACCCCCCAAAAAAGCCCCCCCCGGGCGGGGGTCGGGCCCCGCTGGCTGCGCCCCTCCCCCCCCCGCACGCGCCCCCCGCACGGCCTGACTAACACCGCCCCTCCCCCACCCCCGACCCCTCCCCATCCCCCCCTCCCCTCCCCCAACCCCCCCACCCCCGCCCAGGGGGCACCGGGGCCGCCCCCGCTGCGGGGGGAGGGGCTGGGGGGGCGTCAGAGGGTGTGAGGGGCGTGCAAGGTGTGCACAGGTGTGTAAAGGTGTGTACAGGTGTGTACAGGTGTGTGTACAGGTGTGTACAGGTGTGTGAAGGTGTGTGCAGGTGTGTGCAGGTGTGCACAGGTCTGTAAAGGTGTGTGTAAAGATGTGTACAGGTGTGTACAGGTGTGTGCAGGTGTGTGCAAAGGTGTGCACAGGTGTGTAAAGGTGTGTGCAGGTGTGTAAAGGTGCCCACAGGTGTGTGTACAGGTGTGTGTGTGTGCACGTGTGTGTATGCAGGTGTGTACAGGTGTGCTAGCACAGGTATGTAAAGCTGTGTACATGTACACGTGTGGGTGCACAGGTGTATGTACAGGTGTGTCTGTGCACAGGTGTATGTACAGGTGTGTGCGCACAGGTGTGTAAAGGTGTGTATGTGTGCAGGTGTGCGCGCACAGGTGTGTGTACAGCTGTGTCTGTGCACAGGTGTGTACAGTTACAGGTGTGCATGCACAGGTGTACACAGCTGTGTACAGGTGTGTGTGCAGGTGTGTGTGCAGGTGTGTGTGCAGGTGTATGAGGGTCACACCAGGTGTGTACAGGTGTGTGCAGGTGTGTGTGCAGGTGTGTACAGGTGTATGCAGGTGTATGAGGGTCACACCAGGTGTGTACAGGTGTGTGCAGGTGTGTGTGCAGGTGTGTACAGGTGTATGCAGGTGTATGAGGGTCACATCATGTGTGTGTGCAGGTGTGTCCAGGTGTGTAGAGGTGTATGCAGGTGTATGAGGGTCACACCAGGTGTGTGTGCAGGTGTGTGCAGGTGTGTGTGCAAGAGTGTGCAGGTGTATGCAGGTGTATGAGGGTCCCACCAGGTGTGTGCAGGTGTGTACAGGTGTGTGTGCAGGTGTGTACAGGTGTGTGCAGGTGTATGAGGGTCACACCAGGTGTGTACAGGTGTGTGCAGGTGTGTGTGCAGGTGTGTACAGGTGTATGCAGGTGTATGAGGGTCACACCAGGTGTGTACAGGTGTGTACAGGTGTGTGTACAGGTGTGTACAGGTGTGTGTGCAGGTGTGTACAGGTGTATGCAGGTGTATGAGGGTCACACCAGGTGTGTGTACAGGTGTGTGCAGGTGTGTACAGGTGTGTGTGCAGGTGTGTACAGGTGTGTGTGGGTCACATCAGGTGTGTGTGCAGGTGTGTGCAGGTGTGTACAGGTCTGTGCTCACTCACGCACGTTTAAGCAGCCGTGGGGCTGCCCCCGGGGTCCCCCTTCCCCCCTGCACGCCCCCCCACCCTCTCTGCATGCGCTTGCACACCTGTGCACGCCCCCGGCACACCTGTGCACGCCCCTGGCACACCTGTGCATGCCCCTTGCACACCTGTGCACGCCCCTGGCACACCTGTGCACAACCCTGGCACACCTGTGCATGCCCCTGGCACACCTGTGCACGCCCCCGGCACACCTGTGCACGCCCCCAGCACACCTGTGCACGCCCCCGGCACACCTGTGCACACCCCTGACACACCTGTGCACGCCCCCCGCCCCGCGCGCTGCCCCCACTAACGACCGCGTTTGTGTCTGAGCTTTTTTCTGCCCCGGGACCCCCCAAAACTCGTTACTAACCCCCCTCCCCCCCTTTGTCACCCCCCCATGTCACCCCTTTGTCACCCCCCCCATGTCACCCCCTCCCCCCCGTGTCACCCCCGTCTCACTCCCTGCCCCACCCCCCACCCATCACCCCCCCTGTTCTCACCTGGGGGGGCTCCTTGGGGGGCTCCTCCGGAGATATGGGGGGGCTCCAACCCCCCCACCCCACCCCCTATGACCCCCCCAGGTGACCCCAGACCCCCCCACCCCTCACCCTCATTGTCCCCGTCACCCCCAGCTCATCACCCCCCCCGTCCCCCCCGTCCCGTGTCCCCCCCGGTTTTGGGGTGCCCCGGTTTCGGGGGGCCCGCTGAGCCGGCCGCTCGTGCGCAGGTGACCATCTCTGTGGACGGCATCCTGACCACCACGGGCTACACGCAGGAGGACTTCACCATGCTGGGCTCCGACGACTTCTTCTACGTGGGGGGGTCCCCCAACACCGCCGACCTGCCGGGGTCCCCCGTCAGCAACAACTTCATGGGCTGCCTCAAGGACGTGAGTCTGGGGGCTCGGGGACCCCCCCCGCCCTCACCTGGGGAGGGGGGCTCGGGTTGGGGGGATCTAGAGCCCCCCCAGCTCACCTGTGCGTGTCCCCAGGATCTGTGGGTGACATTTTGGTGACGCCAACTCACCTGTGCGTGTCCCCAAGAGCAGTGGGTCATATTTTGGGGACATCCATGAGCTCCCCGACTCACCTGTGTGTGTCCTGGTTACAGGGGTCACATTTTGGGGACATCCATGAGATCCCCAACTCTCCTGTGCATGTCCCCAGGATCTCTGGGTGATATTTTGGGAACCCCGACTCACCTGTGTGTGTCCCCAGGAACAGGGGTCACATTTTGGTGACCCAGACTCACTTGTGCGTGTCCCCAAGAGCTGTGGGTCATATTTTGGGGACATCCGTGAGCCCCCCGACTCACCTGTGTGTGTCCCCGGGGACAGGGGTCACATTTTGGAAAAGTCCATGAGATCCCCGACTCACCTGTGTGTGTCCCCAGGATCTCTGGGTCATATTTTGGGGATATCCATGAGACCCCCGACTCACCTGTGCGTGTCCCCAGGATCTGTGGGTGACATTTTGGTGACCCCGACCCACCTGTGCGTGTCCCCAGGATCTCTGGGTCACATTTTGGTGACCCCGACTCACTTGTGCGTGTCCCCAGGATCTGTGGGTGACATTTTGGTGACCCCGACTCACCTCTGTGTGTCCCCAGGATCTCTGGGTCACATTTTGGGAATGCCGACTTACCTGTACGTGTCCCCAGGATTTGTGGGTCACATTTTGGTGACCCCGACTCACCTGTGCATGTCCCCAGGATCTCTGGGTGACATTTTGGGAACCCCGACTCACCTGTGCATGTCCCCAAGATCTCTGGGTCACATTTTGGTGACCCCGACTCACCTGTGAGTGTCCCCAGGATCTGTGGGTGACATTTTGGGAACCCAGACTCACTTGTGCATGTCCCCAGAATCTCTGGGTGACATTTTGGGAACCCCGACTCACCTGTGCGTGTCCCCAGGATCTCTGGGTGACATTTTGGGGACCCCGACTCACCTGTACGTGTCCCCAGGATCTCTGGGTGACATTTTGGTGACTCCCATGAGTCCCCACCTCACCTGTGTGTGACCCAGGATCTGTGGGTGACATTTTGGGAACCCTGACTCACCTGTACGTGTCCCCAGAATCTGTGGGTCACATTTTGGTGACCCCGACTCACTTGTGCATCTCCCCAGGATCTCTGGGTCACATTTTGGGAATCCTGGACTCACCTGTGCGTGTCCCCAGGATCTGTGGGTCACATTTTGGTGACCCCGACTCACTTGTGCGTGTCCCCAGGATCTCTGGGTCACATTTTGGGAACCCCGACTCACCTGTGCGTGTCCCCAGGGGCGTTGCGGGTGACACCTCAGGCCAGCAGCATTGTGGGGGTCACACGGCGGCGCTGGGCACCCCCAGACCCCCTCCCCACGCCCTCACCTGTGCCCTGCCCAGGTGGTTTACAAGAACAACGACTTCAAGCTGGAGCTGTCGCGGCTGGCGCAGGAGGGCGACGCGCGGGTGACGCTGCACGGGGCGCTGCTCTTCCACTGCGACCCCCCCCCGGCGCTGGACCCCGTCACCTTCGCCACCCCCCAGGCTCACCTGGCGCTGCCCACCTGGCGCCCGGCCCGCGCCGGCTCCGTCTCCTTCGACTTCCGCACCACGGAGCCCAACGGGGTCCTGCTCTTCGGGCAGGGCCCCCCCCGCAACCCCCCGGCCGCCGCCCGTGGGCCGCCCCCGCCGCCCCCCGATTTCCTGGCGCTGGAGCTGCTGGACGGGCACCTGTACCTGCTGCTGGGCATGGGCGCGGCCGGGCTGCGGCTCCGCGCCAGCGCCCGCAAGGTCACGGACGGAGAGTGGTGCCACGTGGACGTGCAGCGCGACGGGCGCAAGGGTGAGCGGGCGGGGGTTGGGGGGGGGCAGGTGTGGGCAGGTGTGCAAAGAGGGGCGGGCAGGTGTGTGCAGGTGTGCACAGGGTGTGCAGGTGTGGGCAGGTGTGTGCAGGTGTGGGCAGGTGTGCAAAGGGTGTGCAGGTGTGTGCAGGTGTGTGTAGGTGTGCAAAGAGGGGCGGGCAGGTGTGCAAAGGGTGTGCAGGTGTGTGCAGGTGTGTGCAGGTGTGCAAAGAGGGCGGGCAGGTGTGTGGGGAGGAGGTGTGCAGGTCTGCACAGGGTGTGCAGGTGTGCAAAGGGTGTACACGTGTCCCCTTGCTGTCCCTTTTCTGTCCCCTGCTGTCCCCCTTCTGTCCCCCCGCTGTCCTCCCCTTTCCCCCCGGCCCCCCCTTTCCCCCCTGTCCCCCCGTCCCCTCTCTGTCCCCCCGTCCCCTTCTGTCCCCCCTGTCCCCCCGTCCCCTTCTGTCCCCCCTGTCCCCCCTGTCCCCGCTGTCCCCCCCGTCCCCCCGTCCCCGTGTCCCCCCTGTCCCCTTCTGTCCCCCGTGTCCCCCCTGTCCCCGCTGTCCCCCCTGTCCCCCCCGTCCCCCCCGTCCCCCCTGTCCCCCCTTTCCCCCCCGTCCCCCTGTCCCCGTGTCCCCCCTGTCCCCGCTGTCCCCCCCGTCCCCCCCTGTCCCCGCTGTCCCCTCTCTATCCCCTCTCTGTCCCCTGCTGTCCCCCCTTTCCCCCCTGTCCCCCCGTCCCCGCTGTCCCCCCGTCCCCTTCTGTCCCCCCGTCCCCTTGTGTCCCCCCCTGTCCCCGCTGTCCCCCCGTCCCTGCTGTCCCCTCTCTGTCCCCCCGTCCCCTTCTGTCCCCCCTTGTCCCCATGTCCCTCCTGTCCCCTTCTGTCCCCCCTGTCCCCCTGTCCCCCCTGTCCCCATGTCCCCTCTATCCCCCCTGTCCCCCCTTTCCCCCCTGTCCCTGCTGTCCCCCCGTCCCCGTGTCCCCCCTGTCCCCCTGTCCCCGCTGTCCCCCCTGTCCCCCCCTGTCTCCCCCTGTCCCCCCTATCCCCCCTTTCCCCCCGTCCCCCCGTCCCCGTGTCCCCCCTGTCCCCCCTGTCCCCCCGTCCCCGTGTCCCCCCTGTCCCCCCTGTCCCCCCTGTCCCCCCTGTCCCCGCTATCCCCTCTCTGTCCCCCCTGTCCCCCCCGTCCCCCCGTCCCCGTGTCCCCCCTGTCCCCCCTGTCCCCTCTCTATCCCCCCTGTCCCCTCTCTCCCCCAGCTGTCCCCTCTCTATCCCCGCTCTGTCCCCTCTGTCCCTGCTGTCCCCGTGTCCCCCCTGTCCCCCCTGTCCCCCCCCCGTCCCCCCGGTCCCGGTCCCCCCCTGACGCCCGCGCCCCCCGCAGGCTCGGTGTCGGTGAACAGCCGCAGCACGCCCTTCCTGGCCAGCGGGGACCGGGACGTGCTGGACGTGGGGGCCGAGCTGTACCTGGGGGGGCTCCCCGAGGGCCGGCCCGGGCCCCCCGCGCCCCCCGAGCTGTGGGCGGCGGGGCTGCGCTTGGGCTTCGTGGGCTGCGTGCGGGACCTGTTCGTGGACGGGCGGAGCCGCGACGTGCGGGCGCTGCTGCCCGCGGGGGGGGCGGCGGGGGTCGCCCCGCTCTGCGCCCGGGACCCCCCCCGGGCCTGCGCCAGCGGCCCCTGCCGCAACGGCGGCGCCTGCCGGGAGGGCTGGAACCGCTTCGTGTGCGACTGCCGCGGCACCGGATACCTGGGGCCGCGCTGCGAGACGGGTGAGGGACCGCGCCACACGCGGGGACACGGGACGGAGGGGACAGCGGGGACAGAGGGGACAGCGGGGACACGGGACAGGGGGGACAGGGGGATAGTGGGGACACAGGGGGACAGCGGGGACACCACGGGGACAGAGGGGATATCTGGGACACCACGGGGACGGCGGGACACGCGGGGACGCGGGACAGCGGTGGGGGAGAGAGGGGACAGAGGGGATAGAGGGGACACGGGACAGGGGGGAGAGAGGGGAGAGAGGGGACAGGGGGGACAGAGGGGACACGGGACAGGGGGGACAGCGGGGATAGCGCGGATAGCGGGGGGACAGAGGGGACAGAGGGGACAGCGGGGATAGCGGGGACAGGGGGGAGAGAGGGGATAGCGGGGACAGGGGGGATAGCGGGGACACGGGACGCGGGGACACAGAGGGGATAGCGGGGACAGCAGAGGGACAGGGGGGATAGCGGGGGGACAGAGGGGACAGAAGGGATAGCGGGGACAGCGGGGGGACAGAGGGGATAGCGGGGACGAAGGGGGGACAGAGGGGATAGTGGGGACACGGGACAGGGGGGACAGGGGGGATAACAGGGGGACACCACGGGGAGAGCAGGGGGACACCGCGGGGGCAGCGAGGATAGCGGGGACATGGGGACAGCGGGGGGACAGAGGGGACAGTGGGGACAGCGGGGGGATAGGGGACACGGGGACGGGGGTGGGACAGAGGGGATAGCGGGGACAGGGGGGACAGGGGGGACACGGGGACAGAGGGGACAGCGGGGGGACAGGGGGGATAGCGGGGGGCGAGAGGGGACAGAGGGGACACGGGACGGGGGGGGACAGGGGGGACAGCGGGGACAGCGGGGGGACAGTGGGGACAGAGGGGATAGCGGGGACAGAGGGGACAGAGGGGGGACAGCAGGGGGACAGGGGGGACAGCGGGGGGACAGAGGGGACAGCAGGGTGGGGCACACCTGAGGGGGTTATGGGGTACCTGGGACAGGTGAGGGGACACGGTGACACCATGGGGACAGCGGGGTGGGGTCACACGGAGGGCGTGGCACTCCCCGAGCACTTGGGTGAGCCCGGGGGGGGATTGAGGGTGACACGGGACCCTGAGGTGACACAGCGAGGACTGGGGGGGGGGGGGCGGGTCACAGGTCACACCTGAGGGGGGCATGGGGTACCTGGGACAGCGCTGTGGGGCAGGTGAGGGGGGGGATGGGGGCATTGGGACCCTCCGAACGCCTGGGTCCCCACCTGGGAGCACCTGGACACCTGAGTCCCCCCCCGGGGGACACCTGGGTGCCTCCCCCAGCGATGGGTGTCCCCAGACACCTCCGGTCCTGTGGGGTGGCACCCAGTGGCAGCGTCCCTTGTCCCCCACAAGCTGCGGTGCTCACCTGGCCGTGGGGTCCCAACTCCCGGGGGTGCCCTGGGGACAGCGAGGACAGACTGGGGACAGTGGGGGTGGCCGTGCCGAGGGTGACGGGTCCCTGTCCCCGCAGAGGCGGCGGTGCTCAGCTATGACGGCAGCATGTACCTGAAGGTGCAGGTGCCGGGCGAGCAGACGGAGGCCGAGGACGTGGCCCTGCGCTTCATGTCCCCTCGCGCCTTCGGCCTCGTCCTGGCCACCACCTCGCGCCACTCGGCCGACACCCTGCGCCTCGAGCTGGACGGGGGGCGCATGAAGCTCACCCTCAACCTGGGTGAGCCCCCCGAGACCCCGCAGAGGCCCCGGAGAACCCCCGAAACGTCCCTGAAACGTCCCGAGACCTCCCCAAAATCCTCCCCGAAAACGGGGCCCGAGGCGGTTCTGGTCGTCCCAGGATGGCCAAAATAGGGCCAGGGACCCCAAAATAGGGTTCAGGGACCCCAAAATAGGGCCTGGGACCCAAAAATGATGTATAGGCCCCTAAAATGGTGTTTGGGACCCTAAAATAGGGCCTGGGACCTTAATATAGGGCCTGGTACCCTTAAATGTTGTCTAGGACCTGAAAATGGTGCTTGGGACCCTAAAATGGTGTCTAGGACCCTAAAATGGTGTCTGAAACACTAAAATGGTTCCTGAGACCCTGAAATGGTGCCTGATATCCCCCCAAAATGGTCAGTTTGGTGCCTGGGATGCCACAGTGATGCTCAGGACCCCAAATCGGTGCCCAAGTCAGTTCTTATGACCCCAGAAATGGTTACGTTGATCCTCGGGACCCCTAAACATCCCCAAAACAGCTTATGGCCCCAAAATGGCCCGAAGTTGGTGCCTGGGAGCCCAGAATGATGGCCAGGACCCCAAAAGTGTGCCCAGGTCACTTCTCCTGACCCTAAAATTGTCAGCTTCAGGCCTAGGACCCCAAAAAGGTGCCCAGGTCCCAAAGATTTCCCCAAAATGGTGTCTGAGTTGGTTCTTGCGATCCCAAAATTGTCAAGTTGGTGCCTGGGACCCCAAAACTTCCCCCAGAGGTGCTCAAGCAGCTCATGACCCCAAAAATGGTGCCCAGGCACCCCCAGAATCGCCCCTGTGCCCCCCAAACTGGCCCCGGAGGGTCACCAGAGCTGCCTCGGTGCCCCCGACTCCCTCCCCCCCCTCCCCCCGGATTGGGGCCTTCGTGACCCCCCCGCTGCCACTCGGGGCACAGCGCCGGGACCCCCCGAGGGGGGGAGGGACCCCCCAGAGGATTGGGGACCCCCCCAGGGTTGGGGACCCCTCCTGCAGCCCCTTCCAGTGGGGGGGACCCCCGTGGGGCTGCAGGTCCTCTGTGGGGTGCGGACCTCCCCCCACGGGTTTGGGGACCCCCCCAAGGGGTTGGGGACCCCCCACATTGAACTGGGGACCCCCCATGGGGTTGGGGACCCCCCCGGGTCCCGGCCTTTGCCCCCCCCCGCCCCGCAGCGGTTGACGGGGGGGGCCCAGCCCTGGGTGGGATCCCCCCGGATCCCCCCGGATCCCCCCGGATCCCCCCGGACCCCCCGGGCTGGGCCCTCAGGGCGGCCGTGCCCCCCCCCGAGGTGCCAGAGACCCCCTAAACCAGTTCCCCCCAGTTCCCCCCCAGTTCCCTCCCAGTTCATCCTATTCCCACTCCTCATCCCATCCCACCTCATCCCAGTACATTCCCAGTTTCCCCCAGTCCCTCCCATCCCATTCCCAGTTCAATCCCAGTCCCTCCCAGTCCCTCCCAGTTCAATCCCAGTCCCTCCCAGTTCAATCCCAGTCCCTCCCAGTTCAATCCCAGTTCAATCCCAGTCCCTCCCAGTTCAATCCCAGTCCCTCCCCGTCCCTCCCAGTCCCTCCCAGTCCCTCCCAGTCCCTCCCAGTTCAATCCCAGTCCCTCCCAGTCAATCCCAGTGCCTCTCAGTCAATCCCAGTCAATCCCAGTCCCTCCCAGTGCCCCCCTCTGGCACCTCGCCCCCCCGGCCGCCCCCCCCGTCCCCGGGGCGCCCCCCGGCAGCGGCTGCGAAGGGCCTGACCGGTGTCTTCTCTCCCCAGACTGTGTCCGCGTGGGCTGTCACCCCAGTAAGTGCCACCCCCGGGACACCCCGGGACACCCCCAACCCCCTGGGACACCCGGCCCCCAAAACCCCCCATGAACACCCCCAAAATCACCCCATGAACACCCCCAAAATCATCCCAACACCCCATGGGACATGCCCCAAACCCCCTGGGGACACCCCTGGGGACACCCCTGGGGACACCCCTGGGGACACCCCCAGACCCTCTGGATCACCCCAAAACCTCCACAGGGCCCCCCAAACCCCCCCGACCCCCCCCCAGTGTGGGTTCAGGGGTTCACCCCTGGGCGGTGCCCCTGGGCCGCTTCCAGCTGGGAACATCTGGTGCCACCCAGTGCCACCCAGTGCCACCCAGTGCCACCCAGTGCCACCCACTGCTACAGTGTCACCCGTACTGGTGGCCCAGTGTCCCCAGTACACTGCTGTCCCCCAGGGTTACTGCTGTCACCTTGTGTCACCCTGTGTCACTGGTGACCGCCAGTGCTGTGGTGTCACCAGTATGGCACTGTCCCCGGTGTCCCTAATGTCCCCAGTGTCCCTAATGTGCCCAATGTCACCAGTACAGCGGTGTCCCCGCTGTCCCCGGTGTCCCGACTGTCCCTGATGTCCCCGCTGTTCCTGGTGTCCCCGCTGTCCCTGATGTCCCTGGTGTCCCTGCTATCCCTGGTGTCCCCGGTGTCCCTGGTGTCCCCACTGTCCCCGGTGTCCCTGCTATCCCTGGTGTCCCCGGTGTCCCTGGTGTCCCTGATGTCCCCGGTGTCCCTGATGTCCCTGGTGTCCCTGCTGTCCCTGGTGTCCCTGCTGTCCCTGGTGTCCCTGATGTCCCCGGTGTCCCCGGTGTCCCTGATGTCACCGGTGTCCCCGCTGTCCCCGCTGCCCCCAGGCAAGGGCCCCGAGACGCTGTTCGCGGGGCAGCGGCTGGATGACAACGAGTGGCACTCGGTGCGGGTGGCCCGGCGCGGGCGCAGCCTCCAGCTCGCCGTCGACAACGTCACCGTCGAAGGTGACACCGCGGGGACGGGGCGGGGGGAGCCGGGCCTGGGGGCACCGGGGGACACCGGGGGGCACCGGGGGGCACCGGGGGGCTCAGGTCCATGGGGACGTGGTCAGTGGGGCTGTGGGTCTGTGGGACAGGGATGAAGATCCATGGGATGGGGATCCATGGGACAGGGATGAAGGTCCATGAGGACATGGATGAAGGTCCATGGGGACATGGCTGAAGGTCCATGGACATGGATGAAGGTCCATGGACATGGCTGAAGGTCCATGGACAGGGATGAAGGTCCATGAGAACATGGATGAAGGCCCATGAGGACATGGCTGAAGGTCCATGAGGACATGGATGAAGGTCCATGGGGACATGGCTGAAGGTCCATGGACATGGATGAAGGTCCATGGACAGGGATGAAGGTCCATGAGAACATGGATGAAGGCCCATGGGGACATTGGTGCTTGGGGACATGGTAACCAGGTCCATGGGAACATGGTTGGAGGTCCATGGGACAGGGATGAAGGTCCATGAGGACATGAATGAAGGTCCATGAGGGCATGGAAGAAGTTTCATGGGGACATGGCTGAAGGTCCATGGACAGGGATGAAGGTCCATGGGACAGGGATGAAGGTCCATGAGAACATGGATGAAAGTTCATGGGGACAGGGATGAAGGTCCCTGGGACAGGGATGAAGGTCCATAAGGACATGGCTGAAGGTCCATGAGGACATGGATGAAGGTCCATGGGGACATTGGCGCTTGGGGACAGGGATGAAGGTCCATGAGAACATGGAAGAAGATTCATGGGGACAGGGATGAAGGTCCATGAGGACATGGCTGAAGGTCCATGGGACAGGGATGAAAGTTCACAGGGACATTGGCGCTTGGGGACAGGGATGAAGGTCCTTGGACAGGGGTGAAGGTCCTTGAGAACATGAAGGTCCATGGGAACATGGTTGAAGGTCCATGAGAACAGGGTTGAAGGTCCATGAGAGCACGGCTGGAGGTCCATGGGACAGGGATGAAGGTCCTTGGGGACAGAGATGAAGGTCCATGGGGACATTGGTGCTTGGGGACATGGTAACCAGGTCCATGGGAACATGGTTGGAGGTCCATGGGACAGGGATGAAGGTCCATGAGGACATGAATGAAGGTCCATGAGGGCATGGAAGAAGTTTCATGGGGACAGGGATGAAGGTCCATGGACAGGGATGAAGGTCCATGGGATAGGGATGAAGGTCCATGAGAACATGGCTGAAGGTCCATGAGGACATGGATGAAAGTTCATGGGGACAGGGATGAAGGTCCATAAGGACATGGCTGAAGGTCCATGAGGACATGGATGAAGGTCCATGGGGACATGGCTGAAGGTCCATGGGACAGGGATAAAAGTTCACAGGGACATTGGCGCTTGGGGACACGGATGAAGGTCCTTGGACAGGGGTGAAGGTCCTTGAGAACATGAAGGTCCATGGGAACATGGTTGAAGGTCCATGAGAACAGGGTTGAAGGTCCATGAGAGCACGGCTGGAGGTCCATGGGACAGGGATGAAGGTCCTTGGGGACAGGGATGAAGGTCCCTGGGGACAGGGATGAAGGTCCCTGGGGACACGGGTGCGCAGGGACAAGGTGACCAGCCCTGTGAGGACACCGCACACAGCCTGGAGGTCCACGAGACCACGGGCCCACTGCGCGGTGGCACGGGCCAGCCCTCGAGCTGCCGGTGCCACCCCGGTGCCCCCGTTGCCCCCCAGGCCAGCTGTCGGGCTCGCACACCCGCCTGGAGTTCCACAACATCGAGACCGGCATCGTCACCGAGCGCCGCTTCCTGGCCGTGGTCCCGTCCAACTTCCTGGGCCACCTGAGCGGGCTGGTCTTCAACGGGCTGCCCTACCTGGACCTGTGCCGCGACGGCGACATCAGCTCCTGCGAGCTCAACGCCCGCTTCGGCCGCCGCGCCATCGTGGCCGACCCGGTGGCCTTCGGTGGCCGCGGCTCCTACGTGGCGCTGGCCACGCTCCAGGCCTTCGCCTCCTTCCACCTCTTCTTCCAGTTCAAGACCACGGCGCCCGACGGCCTCATCCTCTTCAACGGCGGCAGCGGCTCCGACTTCCTGGTGGTCGAGCTGGTCAAGGGGTGAGGGGGACACCGGGGGGACGTCCTGGGCACCGCGGAGGTCCTGGGGACGCCGCGGCCGGGCTGGGGAGCTCAGGGACCTTCACGGATCTTGGGGGATGCCTGTGGGGTCCTTGGGGGTCTCGGGGAGCACCTGGGGTGCTCGGAGACCTCCTGGGACATGCTGGGGGTCCTGGGGGTTTTAGGGACGTCCTGGGGAGCTTGGGGACCTCCAGGGGATGTCTGGGACCTCCTGGGACACGTGGGAGGTCCTGGGGACCTTGGGAACCACCCAGGGACCTCCTGAACCTCCCGGGGACCTCCTGGGTGCCCTGGGGACACCGGGGGAGCCCTGGGGACCCTGTGATGCCCCTGGGGACCTCCTGAACCTCTTTGGGACCCCCTCAGCCCTCAGGGACCCCCCCCACACACACACCCCCAGCCTTAGGCTCCACCCCCATGGCTCAAGCTCCTCCTCCTGTCTCTGGCCACGCCCACAGCGACCACACCCAACTGTGGCCCCACCTCCAGCCTTGGCCACGCCCCCGGCCCGGTTACCCGCCCTGAATTTGGGTTGGGGGGGTGGGGGGTCCCTTTGTCCCTTCCCCAGGTGAGCCCCCGCCCTCAGGTGAGTCCCCCCCAGCCACGCCCCACGAGGCCACGCCCCCTTGGCAGGTACATCCACTACGTGTTCGACCTGGGCGAGGGCCCCTCGCTGATGAAGGGCAACTCGGAGCAGCCGCTGCACGACGGGCGCTGGCACGAGGTGGCCGTGGCACGCGAGGGGGGGGCCCTGCACGCCCTGCGCGTGGACGGGAGACCCGTCACCCAGCACGGGCAGGGCGCCCGCGGGCTGCAGCTCAAGGGTGAGACCCCAGGGATACCTGGGGGGCAGGTGGGACACAGCTGGGGCACACCTGGGGCAGCTGGGATACACCTGGGGCACACCTGGGCACACCTGGGGCAGCTGGAACACACCTGGGGCAGCTGGGACACACCTGGGCACACCTGGGCACACCTGGGATCACCTGGGATACACCTGGGATACACCTGGGGCAGCTGGGACACACCTGGGACACACCTGGGCACACCTGGGGGAGGGAACAGGTGTGTGAGTACCCCGTGACCCAGCACGGGCAGGGCGCCCGCGGGCTGCAGCTCAAGGGTGAGACCTGGGGGATACCTGGGGGGCAGGTGGGACGCACCTGGGGCAGCTGGGATACACCTGGGATCACCTGGGATACACTTGGGGCACACCTGGGCACACCTGGGCACACCTGGGATACACCTGGGATCACCTGGGATACACCTGGGATACACCTGGGATACACCTGGGACACACCTGGGGCAGCTGGGACACACCTGGAATACACCTGGGATCACCTGGGATACACCTGGGGCACACCTGGGACACACCTGGGATACACCTCGGTGACACCTGGGACACACCTGGGGACACCTGGGCACACCTGAGGCACCTGGGACACATCTGGGATACACCTGGGCACACCTGGGGCACACCTGGGACACACCTGGGATACACCTCGATGACACCTGGGATCACCTGGGACACACCTGGGCACACCTGGGATACACCTCGGTGACACCTGGACACACCTGGGACACACCTGGGGCAGCTGGGACACATCTGGGACACACCTCGGTGACACGTGGGGACACCTGGGATACACCTGGGGCAGCTAGGACACACCTGGGACACACCTCGGTGACACCTGGGGACACCTGGGGGAGGGCAGAGCTGTGGGGACCATCCCGGGGTAGATGGGAGGGGTCACCCCAGTGGGGTACCCGCAGGGGGGTGTCCCCTCAGCCCGCAGGTGACCCCGCCGTGCCCCCCCAGGTGAGCTGTACGTCGGGGGGGTCAGCCCGGGGCTCCTGGGCCGCCTCCCGCGCCTCGTGGCCTCCCGGGGGGGGTTCCGGGGCTGCCTGGCCTCGCTGGACCTGAACGGGCGCCTGCCCGACCTGCTGGGGGACGCCCTGAGGCGCGTGGGGGACGTGCGGAGGGGCTGCGACGGTGAGAACGGGGGGCACGGGGGTTCTGGGGGGTCTGGGGGCTGCAGGGTGTCAGGGGTGGGCAGGGGAGGTCAGGACTGTGAGAATTGTGGGGGGTTTGGGGGGTCTGGGGGCTTTGGGATGTGGGGGGTAGGCAGGGGGTCGAGAATTGGGGGGGGTCTGGGGGCTGCAGGCTGTGGGGGACGTGTGGGAGGGGCTGCGATGGTGAGAACTGGGGGGGTTTGGGGGGTCTGGGGGCTGCAGGGTATGAGGGGAATGCAGGGGGGGCTGCGACAGTGAGAACGGGGGGCACAGGGGGTCTGGGGGGTCTGGGGGCTGCAGGGTGTGAGGGGTGGGAAGGGGGGGTCGGGACTGTGAGAATTGGGGGGGCACTGGAGGGGTCTGGGGGCTGCAGAGTGTGGGGGATGTGCAGGGGGGGCTGCGACTGTGAGAATGGGGGACACCAGGGGGGTCTGGGGGCTTTGGGATGTGGGGGGTGGGCAGGGGGGGTCGGGACTCTGAGAATTGGGGGGGTTTGGGGAGTCTGGGGGCTGCAGGGTGTGAGGGGAGTGCAGGGGGGGTCGGGACTGTGAGAATGGGGGGCACCAGCGGGTTCTGGGGGGGTCTGGGGGCTGCAGAGTTGGGGGGACTTGGGGGGGCCTGGGATGGTGAGAATGGGGGGAACCAGGGGGGTCTGGGGACTTTGGGATGTGGGGGGTGGGCAGGGGGTCGAGAACTGGGGGGGGTCTGGGGGCTGCAGAGTGTGGGGGGCAGGGGGGGCTGCAATGGTGAGAACTGGGGGGGTTTGGGGGGTCTGGGGGCTGCAGGGTGTGAGAGGTGGGTGGGGGGGCTGCGACGGTGAGAACGGGGGGCACGGGGGGGCACGGGGGGTCTGGGGGGATCTGGGGGCTGCAGGGTGTGAGGGGTGGGCCGGGGGGGGTCAGGACTGTGAGAACTGGGGGGGTTTGGGGGGTCTGGGGGCTGCAGGGTGTCAGGGGTGGGCAGGGGGGGTCGGGACTGTGATAATTGGGGGGGTCTGGGGGGTCTGGGGGCTTTGGGATGTGGGGGGGTGGGCAGGGTGGGCTGGGACTGTGAGAACTGGGGGGGTTTGGGGGGGCTGAGGGGGCACAGGGGTCTGGGGGTATTTGGGCTTTTTTTGGGGGTGTCCAGGAGTTTCCCAAAGGGTTGTGGGGGGTGCACGGGTGGGCAGGGGGCTCAGGGTGGGGGCACAGGGTGGGGGGGGCACAAGGAGGTGTTTGGGGGTACCCAACCCCCGGTGGGGGGGGGACACAAAGGAGTGGGGGAGGGGAGGAGGGGATCGAAGGCCCCAAAACCCCACGGAGAGCCCCCCCACGGGCGGGGCCGGGTTTGGGGGGGCCGGGGGGGGTCCCCACGAGCCCGGTGCCCCCCAGGCCCCAGCACGACGTGCGCCGAGGACTCGTGTGCCCACGGGGGCGTTTGCCTGCAGCAGTGGGACGGCTTCACCTGCGACTGCAGCATGACGGCTTTTGGGGGGCCCGGCTGCGCCGAGCGTGAGTGGGGGGCCGGGGAGGTTTGGGGGGCTTGGGGGGCCTGGGGGCCCGGCTGCGCCAAGCGTGAGTGGGGGGCTCAGGGGGATTTGGGGTGTCAGGGGGGCTCGGGGCAGCCCAGGGGCGCGGCTGTGCCAAGCGTGAGTGGGGGGCCCGGGAGGTTTGGGAGGGTTTTGGGGGGCTTGGGAGGTTTGGGAGGGTTTTGGGGGGCCCGGGAGGTTTGGGGGACTTGGGGGCCTCGGGGCAACCCAGGGGCATGGCTGCGCCGAGCGTGAGTGGGGGGCCAGGGAAGATTTGGGGTGTCAAGGGGGCTTGGGGCAACCTGGGGCCGCGGCTGTGCCAAGCGTGAGAGGGGGGATTTGGGGGATTTTGGGGGGCCCGGGGGGCTTGGGGGGCTCAGGAAGTCTTGGGGGCGCGGCTGTGCCAAGCGTGAGTGGGGGCCAGGGAGGATTTGGGGGGTTTTGGGGGGCCCGGGGGGCTCAGGAGGTCTTTGGGGAGCGACTGCGCCGAGCGTGAGTGGGGGGCCGGGGAGGTTTGGGGGGCTCGGGGCAACCCGGGGGCGCAGCTGTGCCAAGTGTGAGTGGGGGCCCAGGGGGATTTGGGGGGTCTTGGGGGGCCCGGGGGGCTTGCGGGGCTCAGGAAGTCTTGGGGAGCGGCTGCGCCGAGTGTGAGTGGGGGGCCAGGGGGAGTTTGGGGGCCCGGGGGTCTTGGGGGGCTCAGGAGGGCTCAGGGGGGGCAGCTGTGCCCAGATTGAGTGGGGGGCTCAGGGGGATTTGGGGGCTCAGCGGGACCTGGGGGGCTCAGGGGGACACGAGGGGACACACAGGAGGCTCGGGGGTCCCAGGGGAGCCCAGGACCCCCCAGGAATGAGCAGAGGGGGCCGGTGGCCCTTGTCCCTGGGAGGGGACACGCGTGTCCCTCGCTCGGGGTGGGCGTGGGGCTGTGTGACCCCCCCCCCCCACGCGGGACAAGTGTCCCCAGCTGAGGTGGCTCCGTCACCTCCTTCGTGTCCCCGTGGTGATTAAGGAGGGCAGGTGGAAGTGCAGGTGGCACCCGTGTCACCCGTGTCACCCCTGTCACCCGTGTCACCCGTGTCACCCGTGTCACCCGTGTCACCCGTGTCACCTGTACCACCCGTGTCACCCGTGTCACCCGTGCCACCCGTGTCACCCGTGTCACCTGGGCCTGGCACGAGGGCTCCGTGTCCCCCCAGGGGTCCCACACGGGGGACACGAGGGACACGAGGGACACGAGGGACACGTGTCCCTGGCCCAGGGGTGGCTCTGTCCCCTGCCCGAGGGCCCCGTGTCCCCACGGCCCCCCACGCGGGGCGGGTGGCACACGTGGGACACCCGTGTCCCTCTGGGGTGGCCGTGTCCCCCCGTGAGTCCCGGCCCCTGCCCCACACCTGCCCGCGGACACGGGGGGGCCGCGCCGTGGGGACAGCGGGGGTGGCACTGCCGTGGGGCACGGGGACAGCCCCGCGTGGGGCTCCGTGGGGCGGCGCCGACCCCCGATTGTGCCCCTGGGGTCCCCGTGGGGCCGGGGGCAGCTCCGCGCCTCCCCGTGGGGCGGCCCCGCGGCTCCGTGGGGCTCCCCCGCCCCCCGCCGGGGGGTCCGTGGGTTCCCCCTCGTGGGTCGCGCGTGGCCCCTCCCCCCCGGCCCCTCCCCCCGCCCCTCCCCCGCCCCCGCCCCTCCCGCTGCAGCAGCCGCCGCCGCCGCCGCCGCCGCCCCACGGCCGCCCGCGCCCACCGCCCCACGGCCCCGCCGCCCCACGGCCCCGCCGCCCCACGGCCCCGCCGGCCCCACCGACCCCACCGCGCCGCCGCCGCCGCCCAGGCCAGAGCCCCCCCGGCACAGCCCCCGCTTCATCCCCATCGCCATCCTCATCCCCATCCCCATCCTCATCCTCATCCTCATCCTCCCGCAGCCCCCGCCCCACACCGCCCATCCCCCCCCGCCGCCCCACATCGCCCCCTCCCCCATTTCCCGGCCCCACATCGCCCCCCCCCCGCTCCATCTCCCCCCTCCCCCCATTTCCCGGCCCCCCCGCATCGCTCCTGCCCCACATCCCCCCCCCGGCCCCTCCCCCCCGCTCCCACCCCACATCCCGCACCCCCCCCCCATTTCCCAGCCCCACATCCCCCCCCCCGAGCCCCCCCCGGACCATGTTCGACCCCCTCTGAGCGCCCCCCGCGCCCCCCCCGCCCTGGCCCCCCCCGCCCCGGGGCCCCCCCGCGCCCCCCCCCCGCATGCGCTGAGCCCCGGGGGGGGGATCCAGACCCCCCGCGGGGGGGGCGCTCGGGACCCCCCAAACCCGCAGCCCAGGGGGGGTCGGGACCCCCGGGGCCCTTTGGGGGCGCCGCCGCTTTTTTAGGGGGGGGAGCCGCCCCCCCCCAGCCCCATTTTGGGGCCATTTGGGCCCCCCCAGCCCCGATCTAGGGGGAGATTCGGGCGATCCCCCCCCCAGCCCCATTTGGGGGGATTTGGGCCTCCCCCAGCCCCATTTGGGGGGATTCGGGCCCCCCCCCAGCCCCATTTCAGGGGATCCAGCCCCCCCCCCCGCCCCTCTTGGGGTGATCGGGCCCCCCCGGTTCTATTTTAGGGGATTTGCCGCCCCCAGCCCCATTGAGGGGGTGGATTGGCCCCCCCGGCCCTATTTTGGGGGGGTTGGGGTTTCTCAGGGCCTCCCCCAGCCCCATTTTCGGGGTGAGCCGGGGCCCCTCCCCAGCCCCGTGGGTGGATTTTGGGCTCGTTGAGCCCCACGGGGGGGGGAGATTCGGGGACCCCCCCGGCCCTTGTGGGGTGACTCCGGGCCCAGGTTCGGGGGGATTTGGGGTTTCCCCAACTTCAGGTTGGGTTGAGCTGGGACTGCCGCCCCCTCCCCATTTTTGAGCTGATTTTAAGCCCCCCCATCCCAATTTTGGGCTCACGATCCCCCCCAGCCCCATTTCGGGGTTCAGCAACCCCCCAGACCCTCTTTTGGGGCACAACCCCCCCTCAAACCCCATTTTAGGGTTAAGGAACCCCCCCGGGCCTCATTTTGGGGCACAACCCCTCCCCTCACCGCCTCCCCCCCATTTTGGGGCTCAGTCCTTTCCAGACCCCCTTTTGGGGCTCCCCCTCTCCCTTTTCCCCCCATTTTGGGGGCTCACCCTCCTCCCTCCCCCCTTTTGGGGACGCCCCCCCTCCCTTCACCCCCAGCCCCACATTTTGGGGTCCCCCCCTGCTCTCACCCCCCTCTTTAACTGGGGGCTCCCCCTCTCCTTCTCCCACCCCCCAATTTGGGAGCCCCCCACCTCCTCCCCCCCCCATTTTGGGGTTCAATCCCTCCTAGACCCCATTTGGGGGTTCTGACCCTCTCCCTTCACTCCCCCTCCCCTCATTTGGAGTCTCTCCCTCTCCTTTCACCCCCCCCCCATTTTGGGGGACTTCCTTCCCCCCCACCTCCAGCCCCTCATTTGGGGACCACCCCCTTCATTTGGGGGCTCCCCCGCTCATCTGGGGACTCCCCCATCCCCTTGTCCGTCCATTTCGGGGGTCCCCTCTCCCTCCCCACCTTCACCTCCAATTTGGGGGCTCCCCCTTCTCCTCCCACCCCCCCTGATTTGGGGGCTCCCCCCTCTCCTTCAACCCCCCCAATTTGGGGGCTCCCCCCTCTTTGTTCACCCCCCCGATTTGGGGGTTCCCCCCCCTCCTGCCCCCCCCAAACCCGGGGGCTGCCCCACCTCTCCCCCCTCCCTCCATCTCCATCCGGGGGCTCCTCCCCCCATTTGGGGTCCCCCTCGCGGGGTCCCCCCGGCGCTGCCGGATGGGGGGGGGTCGCTGAGGGGCCGATGGGGGGCCGGGGGGGCCCCGGGGCGCTGGGGGTGCTGGCGCTGGGGGCGCTGGGGGTGCTGGGGGTGCTGGGGGTGCTGGTGCCCCCCGCCCGCCCCGCCCGCGTCTCCTCCAGCCTCTCGACCACCCACCACGTGCACCACTTCCACGGGCGGCACGGCACGGCGCCCATCGCCATCAACCGCGCGCCCTTCCTCACCCGCGGGCACCACGGTGAGCCCTCCTCATCCTCACCTTCATCCTCACCATCATCCTCACCTTCCTCATCACCATCCTCACCTTCCTCACCCTCCCCATCGCCATCAACCGCGCGCCCTTCCTCACCCGCGGCCACCACGGTGAGCCCTCCTCATCCTCACCCTCACCTTCATCATCACCTTCCTCATCCTCACCTTCATCACAATCCTCATCCTCACCTTCATCATCATCATCCTCACCTTCCCCATCCTCCCCATCGCCATCAACCGCGCGCCCTTCCTCACCCGCGGGCACCATGGTGAGCCCTCCTCATCCTCACCTTCATCACCATCCTCACCTTCATCATCATCATCCTCCCCATCATCCTCATCCTCACCTTCCTCATCCTCCTCATCCTCCCCATCGCCATCAACTGTGCACCCTTCCTCACCTGTGGGCACCACGGTGAGCCCTCCCCATCCTCACCTTCATCCTCACCATCATCCTCATCCTCACCTTCCTCATCCTCACCTTCATCATCATCCTCATCCTCCCCATCACCATCAACCGCACACTCTTCCTCACCCGCGGCCACCACGGTGAGCCCTCCTCATCCTCACCCTCATCCTCATCATCGTCCTCATCTTCCCCATCATCCTCATCCTCATCATCACCTCCCTCATCCTCCCCATCACCATCAACCACATGCGCCCTGGTGAGCCTTCATCATCACCCGCACCATTCTCATCCTCCTCATCCTCCTCATCTTTATCCTTATCCCACTCATCCTCACCTTCCTCATCCTCATCCTCATCCTCCCCATCGCCATCCCCTCTGTGTCCTTCCTCACCAGTGGGCACCACGATGAGCCTTCATCACCCTCAGCACCATCGCCTTCATCCTCCTCCTCCTCCTCCTCCCTGGGGCCATCCACCAGCCCTTCCTCACCCACGACCAGCTCAGTGAGCCTTCATCACCCTCCTCATCAACCTTCCCTCTCCTCCTCCTCACAGGGACCCCAAAACCCTCATCATCATCATCATCATCATCCTCTTCCTCAGCCTCAGGCTCCCTCAACCTCCTCTTCACGATGACAGGGACACAGATGGCCTTCCTCCCCCTCTTCCTCTTCCTCCTCCTCTTCCTCCTCCCCCTCCTCCTCCTCGCTGCCTTGAGAACCTGGGACAGCCTTCCTCCTCCCCCTCTTCCTCTTCCTCCTCCTCCTCCTGCTCACAGACACCCAATCCCCTCCTCCTCCTCCTCCCAGGAACTCCAGCCAGCCTTCCTCCTCCTTCTCCTCCTCCTCCTCCCCAGCTGCTCCCGGGTGCTTCAGCCTGGCCTTCCTCCCCCTCCCCCTCCTCCTCCTCCTCTGTCACCTCCTCTTCCTCCTTCTCCTCCTCCTCACTGCCTTGGGAACCTGGAACAACCTTCCTCCCCCTCTTCCTCTTCCTCCTCCTCCTCCTCCTCCTCCTCACCTTCCTCCCCTCCTCCTCCTCCTCCTCCTCCGGGTGGGGTTTGGGGGGGCCCTGTGGGGTCTGCGCCGCTTCCGTGTCCCTGCAGGCTCGTGTGATTGGCTGCTTCGGGCTGGTTTTGGGGTGCTTCGGGCTGGTTTTGGGGTTTTGGAGTTTATTGGGGTTTTTTTGGGGTGTTTTTGGCTGTTTTGGGTGGTTTTTGGGTGTGTTTCCGATGGCTTTGCGCACCCTGAGCCCTCGTGCGAGGCCGTGCTGAGGAGGGGACAAGAGGGACCCCCCCCCGGACATTTGGGGGTCCTGACGGTCCCACAGCCCCTCCCCCAATTTCAGAGGTGCCCCCCAAGTCTCGGAACCCCCCCCCATCCCTCGGGGTCCCCCACAGATGCCGCGACCCCCCCCAAGTTCGGGGCTCCCCACCAACGCTGGACTTCCCCCACCCCCAGACTCGGGGTCACCCCCAAACTCCGGGGTCCCTCCTGTACCCCCCCCGTGCACTCAGGGTCCCCCCCCCAAACCCGGGACCCCCAAATTCAGTGCCACACCCCCCATACCCAAACCCGGGACCCCCAAATTCAGTGCTGCACCCCCCGTACCCCCTGAGCCCCCCTGCCCTCAGCTCCCCCTCCGCTTGCCCCCCTGACCCCCCGTTTTTCTCTGCCCCCCCAGCGGGCACCACCTACATTTTCGGCAAGGGGGGGGCCCTGATCACCTACACTTGGCCCCCCAATGACCGGCCCAGCACCCGCGCCGACCGCCTGGCCCTGGGCTTCAGCACCCGGCAGCGCGACGCGGTGCTGCTGCGCGTGGAGAGCGCCGCCGGGCTCGGAGACTTCCTCCAGCTCCACATTGTAAGGGGGGACCCAAAAATTGGGGTACGGGGGTGCTGGGGGGGCTGGGAGGGGCTGGGAGGGGCTGGGGGTACAGGGGGGTTTGGGGGTTTAGGGGGCTTGCTGTGTGTGGAGAGCGCATCCGGGCTCGGAGACTTCCTCCAGCTCCACATTGTAAGGGGGGGCCCAAAAATTGGGGGTACAGGGGTGCTGGGGGTGCTGGGGGGGTTGGGAGGGGCTGGAGGTACAGCGGGGTTTGGGGATTTGGGGGTTTAGGGGGGTCTGGGGGTGCTGCTGCGCATGGAGAGCACGGCTGGGCTCGGAGACTTCCTCCAGCTCCACATTGTAAGGGGGGACCCAAAAAATTGGGGTACAGGGGTGCTGGGGGGGCTGAGGATCTTCAGCTCTCCAGGGGTTCCTGGACTTGGTGATTTCCTGCAGCTCCACATCATAAATTTGGGGTTGGGGGGGGTTCATGGGGGTCCTGGGGAGGCCAGGGGGATTTGGGGGCTCCTGGCCAAGGCCCGGTTTGGTCACTTCCCGCAGCTCCACAGCAGAAGAAGGGACAAAATTGGGGTGCAGGGGGTTTAATGGGGGTCCTGGGGGGGCTCCAGGGCTTCCTGCTAAAGTCTGGATTTGGTGACGTCCTGAAGCTCTGCAGGAGGGGAAAAATTGGGGTCCAGGGGCGGTTTTGGGGGTACTGGGGGGGCTCTGTGGCTTCCTGTTAGGGGCCAGATTTGGGGATTTCCTGCACCGTGAGAGGGGCCAAAATTGGGGTTCGGGGGGGCTGGGGGTCATTGCCTGGGGGAAGGGGGTGGTCCGTGCGTGGGGCGGGTACCCAGCGGTGCCCCCTGCCCACCCCGCAGGTTCAGGGGGCCGTGGGGGTCCTGTTCAACGTGGGCACCGAGGACATCGCGCTGGAGGAGCGGGGGGCGGCCGTCAGCGATGGGCGCTTCCACGTCGTCCGCTTCACGCGCAGCGGCGGCAACGCCACGCTCCAGGTGGACGGCGGCCCCCTGCACGAGCGCTACCCGCCAGGTACCCCCCGCCGCGCCCCGGGCACCCCAGGGCCCCTAGAGACACCCCCAGGTACGGCCCAGGTGTTCCCAGGGTTCTACAGGTGTTCCTCAGGTACCCCCAGGTGTTCCCCAGGTGTTCCTCAGGTACCCCCAGGTGTTCCCAGGGTTCCTGCAGGTGTTCCCCAGGTACCCCCAGGGTTCCTACAGACCCTGCAGCTGTTCCTCAGGTGTTCCCCAGGTGTTCCTCAGGTACCCCCAGGTGTTCCCAGGGTTCCTGCAGGTGTTCCCCAGGTACCCCCAGGGTTCCTACAGACGCTGCAGGTGTTCCCCAGGTGTTCCCCAGGTACCCCCAGGTGTTCCCCAGGTACCCCCAGTTGTTCCCCAGGTACCCCCAGGGTTCCTACAGACCCTGCAGGTGTTCCTCAGGTGTTCCTCAGGTACCCCCAGGTGTTCCCCAGGTGTTCCTTAGGTACCCCCAGGGTTCCTACAGACCCTGCAGGTGTTCCCCAGGTACCCCCAGGTGTTCCCCAGGTGTTTCCCAGGTACCCCCAGGGTTCCTACAGACCCTGCAGGTGTTCCCCAGGGCTCTTACAGACCCCCCAGGTACCCCCAGGTACCACTCAGGGCTCCCCCAGACACCCAAGGGACACCCCAGGTGCTTGGGGACACCCCTATGGCACCTCGAGACACCACAGGGACACCCCTGGGACACCCCGAGGCACCTCAGGGTGCTCAGGGACACCCTGGGACACCCCAAGGCACCTGTAGGGACCCCAGGGCACCCCCGGAGCACCCAGAGCCCCCCGAGCCCCCCACGGCACCTTCGGACCCCCGGGGTCACCCCGGGTGCTTGGGGACACCCCCAGGACCCCCCTAACGAGGGCACTAACGAGGCAGCGCTAACGAGGGGTCCCACGGCCACCCCCCCGCCCCTCCCCCGCTAATGCCCCCCTAAAGGCCACATAAACCCCCCGAGGGCCACCCCCACCCCCAGTGACACCATGGCCAGGGCTGGGGACATCAGCAGGGGCGTCACGGCTGTGGGGACACCGATGGTCACACCGTGGTCACGGCGTGGTGGCACCAGTGGTGACATGGTGGTGGCACTGGTGGTGACACTGTGGCCACACCAACGCGGTGCCGACGGTGACACCCACGGGCGCACACCCCGATGGCGCTGACGGTGACGCCACCGTCCCACCATGGTGACATTCATGGTGACACCGTGATCCCGTCACGTTTGACACTGATGGTGACACCGATGGCGCCACCAGTGATGAGGTCACGGTCCCACCATGGTGACATTGGCGGTGACAGCAATGGCCAGGCCAGTCCCACCATGGTGACATTAATGGTGACACCGTGGTCCCGTCATGGTTGACACCGATGGCACCACCAGTGATGAGGTCACGGTCCCACCATGGTGACATTGACAATGACGCCAATGGCCAGGCCAGTCCCATCATGGTGACGCTGATGGTGACACCAATGGCAAGGCCACAGTCCCACCATGGTGACAGTGACACCATTGGTGCCAGTAATGATGGTCCCACCATGGTGACATTGATGGTGACACCAATGGCCAGACCATGGTTCCACCATGGTGACACTGATGGTGGCACCAATGGCAAAACCACAGTCCCATCATGGTGACATTGATGGTGACACCAAGAATTCCACTAATGGTGACACCGTGCTCCCATCTTGGTGACACTAATGATGCCACTAATGATGAGGCCACAGTCCCACCATGGTGACGCTGATGGTGACACCAATGGCAAAGCCACAATCCCACAGCGGTGACACCAACAATGCCACTGAGACCACGGTCCCATCTTGGTGACACCGATGGTGCCGTTGGGACCAGGTCCCATCTTGGTGATGCCAATGATGCCACTGACACCACGGTCCCATCCTGGTGACACCATGAAGCTGCTGAGACCACGGTCCCATCTTAGTGACACCAACAGTGCCGGTGAGACCACGGTTCCATCTTGGTGACACCAATGGTGCCGTTGAGACCAGGTCCCATCTTGATGTCACCAACAATGTAATTGAGACCATGGTCCCATCTTGGTGTCACTGATGGTGCCATTGAGATCACAGTTCCATCTTGGTGTCACCAATGGTGCCATTGAGACCAGGTCCCATTTTGGTGACATCACTGAGACCACGGCCCCATCTTGGTGACACCATTGAGACCATGGTCCCATCTTGGTGTCACCAATGGTGCCATTGAGACCAGTTCCATCTCGCTGACACCAATGGTGCCATTGAGACCACGGTTCCATCTTGGTGACACCGATGAAGCTGCTGAGACCACGGTCCCATCTTGGTGTCACCAATGGTGCCATTGAGACCACGGTTCCATCTTGGTGACACCAATGGTGCCATTGAGACCAGGTCCCATCTTGGTGACACCACTGAGACCACGGTTCCATCTCGGTGACACCAATGGTGCCATTGAGGCCAGGTCCCATCTTGGTGACACCGATGAAGCTGCTGAGACCACGGTCCCATCTTGGTATCACTGATGGTGCTATTGAGATCACGATTCCATTTTGGTGTCACTGATGGTGCCATTGAGACCAGGTCCCATCTTGGTGACACCGATGAAGCTGCTGAGACCACAGTCCCATCTTGGTGTCACCAATGGTGCCACTGAGAACAGGCCCCATCTTGGTGACACCACTGAGACCATGGTCCCATCTCGGTGACACCAATGGTGCCATTGAGACCACGGCCCCATCTTGGTGTCACCAATGGTGCCATTGAGACCACGGTTCCATCTTGGTGACACCGCTGAAGCCGCTGCGACCACGGTCCCACCACATCGCCGCCACCAGCGATGTCCCCGTGCCGGTCCCGGCGGTGTCCCCGTGCCCGGCCCCGTGTCCCCGTAACGCTCTTCTCCTCCCTCCGAAGGCAGCGGGGACAGCGAGCGGCTGGCGCTGGCGCGGCAGCGCATCCCCTTCCGCCTGGGGCGGGTGGTCGATGAGTGGCTGCTCGACAAAGGTAACGGCAGCGAGCGCCCCCCACACCTGGGCACCCCCACACCTGGGCACCCCCCACACCTGGGCACTCCCCACACCTGGGCACCCCGCTGCGGCCCGGACCCAGAGATTTTGGGGTCCCAGGTGTCTGGAACCCACTGATCTGGGGAGTGTCTGGGACCCCCTGACACCTGGAGGCTCCACACCTGGGCACCCCGAGTGTGGGGACTCAGGTGTGCGGGACCCACCTGTTTGGGGTCCCAGGTGTTGGGGGATCCCGGCCTTTGGGACCCCGATATTTGGGGGTTGCAGCACCTGGGCCCCACAGGTGTCCAGGAGCCGCGTCCCAGAGGACCCCGTTGTCCAGGGACCCCCCAGGTGTCCGGGGAGGGAGCCCAGGTGTTGGGGGAGGGGCCAGCCCCTGCCCCGCCCCCTCATTACCTGGTTAAAGGGATGCTAACGCACCTAACGGCCCCCCTAAACCGCGCTGAGCCCAGAGCCCCCCTAAAGCCGCATAAACCCGCTAAACCCCCTAACCCGCACCTGCCAGACTGCCCGGGGCCGGGGCCGCGCCAGGTGTGCCAGGACAGGTGTGCACCAGGCTGGGGCGTGCACCAGGTGTGCCAGGACAGGTGTGCACCAGGTGTGCCAGGACAGGTGGGCACCAGGCTGGGGCGTGCACCAGGTGTGCCAGGACAGGTGTGCACCAGGTGTGCCAGGACAGGTGTGCACCAGGCTGGGGCGTGCACCAGGTGTGCCAGGACAGGTGTGCACCAGGCTGGGGCGTGCACCAGGTGTGCCAGGACAGGTGTGCACCAGGTGTGCCAGGACAGGTGTGCACCAGGCATGCACCATGGCTGGGGCGTGCACCAGGTGTGCCAGGACAGGTGTGTACCAGGCTGGGGCGTGCACCAGGTGTGCGCCAGGTGTGTGCCATGTCTGGTATGTGCACCAGGTGAGCACCAGGTGTGCGCCAGGTGTGCGCCAGGTGTGTGCCATGTCTGGTATGTGCACCAGGTGAGCACCAGGTGTGTGCCAGGTGTGCGCCAGGTGTGTGCCATGCCTGGTATGTGCACCAGGTGTGTGCCAGGTGTGCGCCAGGTATGTGCCATGGCTGGAACACGCACCAGGTGTGTGCCAGGTGTGCACCAGGTGTGTGCCATGGCTGGAACACGCACCAGGTGTGCGCCTTAGCGCCAGGTGTGCACAGGACAGGTGCGCACTAAGGCTGGGGTGTGTGCCAGGTGTGCAGCAGGGCCAGGTGTGCACGAGGAAGGTGCACCGCTGCCCTGCAGGTGTGCACAGGAGCCGCCCCAGCCTCGCACGCCCCTCGCACGCCCCGGCCCCGCCCAGGCAGGGCCCCTGCCCCTCCCCCCGCCCCAAATGACCCAAAATTGGCCGAATTGAGCCCGAGCGGAGCCGGGGGCCGGGGGGGGCGTTGGGGTCCCTTTAACTGCCCGGGGGGGGAGGGGGGTGGGGAGAGGGGGGCAGGGCTGCTCCTCGTGCGAGGCACACCCAGGTGTGCCCCAGGTGTGCCCCAGGTGTGCGGTGAGGGTGGGGGACGGTGGGGTGGGCGTGGCAGGGTGAGGCAGGTGGGGCAGTGTGGGGGCGTGCCAGGTGTGCCAGGTATGCCAGGTGTGCCAGGTGTGGGGATAAGGCTGTGCCAGGTGTGCCAGGTGTGGGGATAAAGCCATGCCAGGTGTGCCAGGTGTGGGGATAAGGCCATGCCAGGTGTGCCAGGTGTGCCAGGTGTGGGAATAAGGCTGTGCCAGGTGTGGGGGTGTGCCAGGTGTGGGGATAAGGCTGTGCCAGGTGTGTCAGGTGTGCCAGGTGTGCCAGGTGTGGGGATAAGGCTGTGCCAGGTGTGCCAGGTGTGCCAGCCACCCCTTATCCCCCCAGTTGCCCCTCTCCAGCCAGGGCGATGTGTAGGGATGAGGTGATGATGAGGTGATGATGTCGGCGTAGCACAGGTGACACAGGTGACACAGGTGAGACAGGTGACACAGGTGAGCCAGTTCCAGCTGTGCCAGGTGTGCCAGACCCCCCTCATCCTCCCAGCTGCCCCTCTCCACCAGCCAGGGGGATGTGTGTGGGCGAGGTGACAATGTCGGGGTAGCACAGGTGACACAGGTGGCACAGGTGAGCCGGGTGGCACAGGTGGCACAGGTAGCACAGGTAGCACAGGTAGAACAGATAGCACAGGTGAGCCGGGTGGCACAGGTGGCACAGGTGAGCCAGTTCCAGCTGTGCCAGGTGTGCCAGACCCCCCTCATCCTCCCAGCTGCCCCTCTCCACCAGCCAGGGGGATGTGTGTGGGTGAGGTGACAATGTTGGGGTAGCATAGGTGACACAGGTGGCACAGGTGGCACAGGTGAGCCAGTTCCAGGTGTGCCAGGTGTGCCAGACCCCCCTAATCCTCCCAGCTGCCCCTCTCCACCAGCCAGGGGGATGTGTGTGGGCGAGGTGGCAATGTCGGGGTAGCACAGGTGGCACAGGTGACACAGGTGACACAGGTGGCACAGGTGAGCCGGGTGGCACAGGTGGCACAGGTAGCACAGGTGACACAGGTGAGCCGGCTCCAGCTGTGCCAGGTGTGCGAGCCGCCCCTCTCCCCCCCAGGCCGGCAGCTGACCATCTTCAACAGCCAGGCGCGCGTGCGGGTGGGGGGCCGGGACCGCGGCCGCCCCTTCCAGGGGCAGCTCTCGGGGCTCTACTACAACGGGCTGAAGCTGCTGGCGCTGGCGGCCGAGGGACACCCCCGCGTGCGGCTCGAGGGGGACCTGCGGCTCGTGGGGACCCCCCCCCGCCCCCCGCGCCCCCCGGCGCCACCCCCGCGCCCCCCGACATGGCCACCACCATCATGGAGACCACCACCACCATGGCCACCACCACCACCCGCCGCGGGCGCTCGCCCACCCTGCGTGACACCGTCGCCCAGGTAAAGTGGGGAGGGGGCACTGGGGGGCTTGGTGGGGTGGGGGTTGGGGGAGGGGGGCTCTGGGATGGGTAAATGGGGAGGGGGAATTGGGGGGGGCGGATTGAGGGAGGGGCCTCCCAAGGGCAGGGTATGGGGGGAGGGGGTAAAAGGGGGGAGGGTCTGCAGGGAATTTGGGGGTGAACGGGGGGTCCCAAGGGCTGGATATGGGGGGAGTGTCTGCAGGGAATTTGGGGGAGAACGGGGGGTCCCAAGGGCCGGATATGGGGGGAGGGTCTGCAGGGAATTTGGGGGGGAATGGGGGGTCCCAAGGGCCAGATATGGGGGGAGGGTCTGCAGGGAATTTGGGGGAGAACGGGGGGTCCCAAGGGCCGGAAATGGGGGGAGGGGCAGGTTTCGGAGGACCCCAGCAAGGGGCTGGAGGGGCCATCCCGAACACCTCAGGTGACCCCAGACCCATCTCCCCGCGCCCTGGGGGGCTCTGGGGGGGCTCGGGGGGTTTGGGGGTCCCCAATCCATGCTGCCCCCCCCCCCCCCCGGTGTCCCCCCAGAACACGGACGATCTGCTGGTGGCCTCGGCCGAGTGTCCGAGCGATGACGAGGACCTGGAGGAGTGTGAGCCGGGCACAGGTGGGTGCCGCTCCGGGGCCCCGGGCACGCGTGTGTGGCACGGCCTCGCACACGCGTGTGGCACGGCCTCGCACACGCGTGTGGCACGGCCTCGCACACGTGTGTGACAAGGCCACAGAGCCCGGGGCTCTCCCCCACCCCCCCGGCGGGGCTGAGACCCCCACACAGGTGTGGAGCGTGCACACGCACAGGTGCTGGGCGCCGAGGGTGTTGCACACGCGTGTGAGCAGGGAACGTGCCAGGCTGCTCACGGCAGGGGGACACGCGGGTACGGGAGCTGCTGACACACCTGGACAGGTTCACACACAGAGACTCACACACCTGGACAGGTGTGCACATACAGAGACACACAGGTGTGCACACACATAGACACACACACACCTGGACAGGTTTACACACACAGAGACTCACACACCTGGACAGGTGTGCACATACAGAGACACACACACACACACCTGGACAGGTGCACACACACACCTGGACAGGTGCGCACACACAGAGACACACAGACACACCTGGACAGGTGCACACACACACCCACACACCTGGACAGGTGTGCTCACACAGACACACACACACACACACCTGGACAGGTGTGCACACACAGACACACACACACACACACACCTGGACAGGTGCACACACAGACACACACACACACACACACCTGGACAGGTGCACACACACACACCTGGACAGGTGCGCACACACAGACACACTGACACACCTGGACAGGTGCACACACACACAGACACACAGGTGTGCACACACATAGACACACACACACCTGGACAGGTGCACACACACACACACACACCTGGACAGGTGTGCTCACACAGACATACACACACACCTGAACTGTTGACACACCCACCTGTATAGGTGTGCACACACACACAGACACACCTGCACAGGTGTGCACACACAACTCTAGTGCTCACACACACCTGCACAGGTGCACACATCTGACCTGTGCACGCACAACACCTGGACAGGAGCAGCTCACACACGCACAGGCACAGGTGTGCACACACACCTGAACTCGCACTCACACTCACACCTGCCCCACAAACGCAGCCGTGCCGCACACCCAGGTGCCCCCCTTGCACACGCAGGTGCCCCCCTTGCACACGCACTCCCACCTGTAGCCCCGCCCCCCACCTGCACAGGTGTTCCCGCCCATTCCGAGCACACACCTGAGCCCGGGACGTGCAAGCCCCGCCCCATCCCCCCTTCCCCTGACGGACGGACACTCGGACACTCGGACACTCGGACGGACAGGGAGGACCCCCCGGTCTGGGGTCACCCCGTGTGACACCGTCACACCTACGCTGTCACACCTGCGCTGTCACACCTGCGCTGCCACCAGGACCTCAGCAAGGAGCCTCCCCCACCCCCGGTGTCACATGGTGACACCCCCTGGACACCCCGGGTGTCACCTGGGCACTGGAGAACCCCCCGGACACCACGGGCTTCACCTGGCACCCACAGGTGTCACCTGCACACCCAGGTGTCCCCCACAGGTGTCCCCAGGACACTCTGGTCCCCCAGGACCCCACCTGTGGGGGAGGGGACGGCAGCGGTACGGGGAAGGGGGGAGGAGCGGGGGACGGACAGACGGACAGAGGACGGACAGACGGACAGTGGATGGACACTGGATGGATGATGGATGGACAGTGGATGGACAGTGGACTCTGGATGGATGATGGACAGTGATCCGTGGATGGATGGATGGATGGATGGATGGATGGATGGATGGATGGATGGATGATGGATGGATGGATGGATGGATGATGGATGGATGGATGGATTTATGGATTTATGGATTTATGGATTTATGGATTTATGGATTTATGGATTTATGGATTTATGGATTTATGGATTTATGGATTTATGGATGGATGGACAGATGGGTATGGGAATGGATGAGTTCAAGGCTGGCCAGATCCAGGGATGGACGGATGGATGCACGGATGGATTTCGGGATGGACGGACAGACACACGGATGGGTGGATCCATGGAGAGCTGGACAGGTGGATGGACAGATGGACACAAGGATGGATGGATGGCTGGAGGGAGGGATGAATGATGGATGGACGGACAGACAGATTTGAGGTCAGATGCTGGATCTGAGGGTGGACAGACGTGTGGCCAGATGGCTGCAGGGGTGGATTTAGGGATGGACGGATGGATGGATGATGGATGGATGATGGATGGATGGATGGGTGGATGATGGATGGATGGATGGATGGATGGATGGGTGATGGATGGATGATGGATGGATGATGGATGGATGGATGGATGATGGATGGACGGATGGATGATGGATGGATGGATGGATGGATGGATGATGGATGGATGGATGGGTGATGGACAGACGGATGGACGGATGGATGATGGATGGATTGATGGGTGATGGACAGACGGATGGACGGATGGATGATGGATGGATGGATGGATGGATGATGGATGATGGATGGATGGATGATGGATGGATGGATGGATGGATGCATGGATGGATGGATGATGGATGGATGGATGATGGATGGATGGATGATGGATGGATGATGGATGGATGATGGATGGATGGATGGATGGATGGATGGATGGATGGATGGATGATGGATGGATGGATGATGGATGGATGGATGGATGGATGGATGGATGATGGATGGACGGATGGATGGATGGATGGATGGATGGATGGATGGATGGATGGATGATGGATGGATGGATGATGGATGATGGATGGATGGATGATGGATGGATGGATGATGGATGGATGACGGATGGACGGATGGATGGACGGATGGATGGATGGATGATGGATGGATGGATGGATGGATGGATGGATGGATGGATGGATGATGGATGGATGATGGATGGACGGATGGATGGATGGATGGATGGATGATGGATGGACGGATGGATGGATGGATGGATGGGTGATGGATGGACGGATGGATGGATGGATGGATGGATGCATGGATGGGTGGATGGACAGATGGATTTCAGGCCAGCAGGATGGACACAGGGATGGCCGGTTGGCCACATGGATGGCCAGCTGTAGGGCAGGGCAGAGGGACACATGGACGGACAGGTGGATGGACGGACAGGTGGATGGACGGACGGACAGATGGATCAGTGAACACACAGATTCAAGGACAGATGGGATCAAGGACAGACGGACACATGGATCAGGATTGGATGGACCCAGCTGGGTTTAGGGATGATGGCTGGATGGACTCGGGGATGGATGGACAGATGGATGGATGGATTCAAGGATCCATGGATGGACAGATGGATGGATGGATGGATGGATGGATGGATGGATGGATGGATGGATGGATGGATGACGGACGGATGGACGGATGGATGGATGGATGGACAGATGGATTCAAGAATCCATGGATGGACAGATGGATGGATGGATGGATGATGGATGGATGGATGGATAGACGGATGATGGATGGATGGATGGATGGATGATGGATGGATGGAGGATAGACGGATGGATGGATGGATGGATGGATGGATGGATGGATGGATGGATGGATGATGGATGGATGGACGGATGATGGATGGATGGATGGAGGATAGACGGATGGATGGATGATGAATGGATGGACGGATGGATGGATGGATGATGGATGGATGGATGATGGATGGACGGATGATGGATGGATGGACGGATGGATCCAAGGCTGATGGCCAATGGCCGGTGGCTGATGGCCGGGGGCCGGTGGCCAGTGGTGGCCGGCGGTGGCCGGGGCCGGCCGGGGCCGGGCGCTGGCGCCGCAGGGGTGGCCGCGGCACCTTCTCACCGAGTGTCTCTTCTCTTCTTTTCTTTTTGTTCTTTTTTTCTCTTTTTTCTCTTTCTCTCGTTTTTTGTGTGCTTTCCCTTCCTTCCTGCAATTTCTTTTTCCTCCACGCTAAAATCACCCGGCCCCATCCCGCGATGTAAGTTGACGGCAGCGCCGCGGTTTGCTCTTAAAAACAAAAAAACCGAGAAAAAAAAAAAAAAAAAAGTAGCGGAATTAGCTAAAAATGCAGAGAGAAAAAAAAAAAAAAAAGATAACCTAGAGCGGAGCTGGCGCGGAGGCGGCCGGAGGCGGCGGGGGGGGGTCGGGGGGCGCAGCGGGGCGCGGCGGCGGGGGCTGACGGGGGTCCCCCCGTCCCCTTTCTGTCTCCGCAGGCGGGGAGCTGGTGCTGCCGGCGTCCCCGGGCCCCCCCGCGCCCCCCGCCGCCCCCCGCGCCCCCCCGGGCTGCGGCCCCGACTGCGACGAGCCCTCGGGCTTCGCCTCGGGGGAGGCGGCGGACCCCGACCCCGACCCCGGCCACGCTCCCGGCCCCGAGCAGCCGCCGGCCGACGACGAGGACTTCGCGGGGCTGGGGGGCGGGGGGAGCCCCGAGGCCGCCGCCCCCCCGGCGGCCACGGCCGCGCCCCGCGGCGCCGGGACCGAGCCCACGGTGGCGGGCGCGGCTCCGCCCGGGCTGGTGCCGGCGGGCGAGCGGCACCCGCGGGAGGGCGCGGGCGGGGGGCGGCGCGGGGGGGGCTCGGCGCCTCCCGTGACCCGGCGCCCCCCCGTGCCCCCCACAGCCGCGCCCGGAGCGGTGGAGGTGGTGCGGGAGGCGGGCGGCACCACCGGCATGGTGGTGGGCATCGTGGCGGCCGCCGCGCTCTGCATCCTCATCCTGCTCTACGCCATGTACAAGTACCGCAACCGCGACGAGGGCTCCTACCAGGTGGACCAGAGCCGCCACTACATCGGGGCCGCCCCCGCCGCGCCCGGGGGAGGCCCGGGAGGGGCTCCCGGTGCCGCGTCCCCGACCCCGCCCGCCGGGACCCCCAAGGAGAAGGCGGCGGCCGCGCCCCCCAAGGCGCCGGGCAAAGCGCGGCGTAACAAGGACAAGGAGTATTACGTGTGAGGGGGGGGTCTCCACGCGTGTCCCCCGACCCCCCCCACCCGCCGCCACCCCCGGGGGGATGTCACCTGCCCGCCCCCCCGACCCCGCCGCAGCGGGGGCGCCTCTGTGGTCTCTCTCTCTCTCTCTCTCTCTTTCTCTCTGTGTGTGTGTGTCCCCCCAACCCGGGGGGCGGCGCGCGGAGGGGGGCGCGGGGGGCGCGCGGGACCCCCCCGCGTGGGCTGTGGGACCACCCCCCCTTCAACAGGGGCGCGGGACCCCCCCCCCACCTCAATCTCCCCCCTGCCCAACCTCGGATCGGTTTTTTACCGCCCCCCCTCGCCCCCCCTCCCCGGGTATTTCTTTGGGTTTATTTTTTAATTTCGAGAGCCCCGATTGGCGTCGGGACCCCCCCCAAAAGCCGCCCCGAATCCCTCCGAGCCCCCCCCCGGGCCGCCCCCGCCGCGCACAGAGGAATACACGGTTCTATACTTCGTACGGCGGCTCCGCCTCTTCCTGCGCCGCCCCCGGGACCCCCCGAACCCGCCGGGACCCCCCGAACCCGCCGGGACCCCCCGAATTCCCCCCGGGGGGATCCCGGCCCTCCCCTCCGCCAGGGGGCGCCGCCCCCCTGTCCCGGGCCCCGCCTCCTCAGTGACGTCACCGTGGGGGGCCCCGCCCCCTCCGCCCACCCGTGGCGCTTCCGCCCCGCGCGCGGCACCGGCGCGAGGAGCGCGCGGAGCCGTGACCCCGCCGTGACCCCGCGGTGACCCCGCGGTGACCCCTCCGTGACCCCGCCGATGGACGGGGAGGGGGAGGCCGAGGGGGAGGGGGGCGCGTCCGCCCCGCCGGGCGCTGCCGGTGAGGGGGCGGGGCCACGGGAGGGGGCGGGGCCGCGACTCCGGGTGTGGCCGTGGGACCCCCGTGGGTGGGGGGCGAGGGACCCTTTGGGGGATGGTCTGGGGGAGGGCGTGGCCGTGGGACCCCCGAGCGTCCTTTGGGTGTGTCGGTCTGGGGGTGGGGGGTCCCGGGGGAGTTTTGGGGGTCCCGAGTGGGTTTGGTGGGGGTCTCACGGCTCCCGGTGCCCCCAGCCCTGCTGTACCTGCCGGACGGGTCGGGGCTGTGTCAGTGCGGGGCGGTGCGGGGGTCCCGGAGGATGTGCGGGGGTCTCGGGAGATGTTTGGGGGTCCCGGGGGATGTTTGGGGGTCCCGAGTGGGTTTTTGGGGGTCTCACGGCCCCCGTGCCCCCAGCGCTGCTGTACCTGCCGGACGGGTCGGGGCTGTGTCAGTGCGGGGCGGTTGTGGGGCGGTGCGGGGGTCCCGGGGGATGTGCGGGGGTCTCGGGGGCGGTGTGGGGGTCCCGGGGGATGTTGGGGAGTCCCGAGTGGGTTTTTGGGGGTCTCACGGCCCCCGTGCCCCCAGCCCTGCTGTACCTGCCGGACGGGTCGGGGCGGTGTGGGGGTCCCGGGGGATGTGTGGGGGTCCCGGGGGATGTGTGGGGTCCCGAGTGGGTTTTTGGGGGTCTCACGGCCCCCGTGCCCCCAGCCCTGCTGTACCTGCCGGACGGGTCGGCGCTGCCGCTGCCGCTGGAGCCGCCCCCGGGCCCCACGGCCGCGGAGCTGCTGCGCCGCCTGTGGGGGGCGCTGCGCCTCCCGCCCGCCGCCGGCGACGCCCTCGCGCTGTGGTTGGGGTCGGAGCTGCTCGGTGAGGGGGGGACATGGGGGGACAGGGGGGACATGGGGGACATGGACATAGGGGGGACATGGACATGGCGGGGTCACAGCTCATCCTGTTGTTGGGGTTGGAGCTGCTGTGGTTGGAGGCCGGGGGGGACATGGGGGGACACGTGCGGACATGGGGGGACAGGGGGACATGGGAGCACGGGGATATGGGGGGTCGCGGGGTCACAGCTCGGTTGTGAGCGGAGCTGCTCGCTGAGGAGGGGACATTGGAGGGTCCCATGAGGGACAGGGAGACGGGAGGATCCCCCTGGAGGATGGAAGTGGGGGGTCCCTGTGCCCGTGGGAGTCCCCGTGGGGGTCCCCGAGTGGGTGCCAGCCCTGTGTCCCCCACCCCAGAGGTGCAGCTGAAGCCGCGGCACCGACCCCTGCGCCTGGTCCGGCACTGGCCGGAGCTGCTGCTGCGCTTCAGCCTCGGCTCGCCCGCGGCCATCGCACAAGGTGAGGGGTGGGGGGTCCGGGGGGGTCCTGTTGGGGGCGGGAGGGTCCCCTCGAGGGTCCCACTGACCCCCTGCCCCCCCAGATGAGCCGTGTCTGCAGCTGCGCAGGAACGTGTTCTTCCCTAAGAGCCGCGAGCTGGAGGTGAGGGGGGACACGGGGGTCCCCAGCACGGGGGGATGGATGGGAGGGGGACACGGGGGGATGCAGGGTGGGGTCTGCGGTGGTTTAGGGGTCTCTCTGCGTGACTGGGGGTGTCTGTGGGTCCCAGCTGCAGGAGGAGGAGCTGCTCCGGTTGCTCTATGAGGAGGCGCGGGAGCAGCTGAGGGGGGGGCGCTACCCCGTGGACCCCCCCGAGGCGGCCGAGCTGGGGGGGCTCAGCTGCCGCCTGCGCCTGGGGCCCTTCGAGCCCGGCCGGCACACGGAGCTCAGCCTGCGGTCAGCACCGGCCGGACCCCGCCCGTGGGACCCCCGCCCGTGCCTGTGGGACCCCCGCCCGTGGGACTCCATCCCGTGGGAGCCCCGCCCGTGGGACCCCGCCCGTGGGACCCCCGCCCGTGGGACCCCATCCCGTGGGACCCCCGCCCGTGGGAGCCCCTGCCAGTGGGACCCTCGCCTGTGGGACCCCCGCCCGTGGGAATCCCTGCCAGTGGGACCCCGCCCCCCCGAAAGAACCACCCTGGGGCATCCCCCGCGACCACCCACGGGATCCCCTCCACCTAGGAGCCACACCTGGGAGATCCCCCTCACCTGAGACCCACCCACGGCATCCCCTCCGGGACCGCCCCACCCCACGGAACCCCCACCCCCTGACCCCCATGTTGCTCCCGTGCCACTCCCGGTCCCCCCTGACCCCCCCCTGACCCCCCCTGACCCCCGGTGTCCCCCCGGTGTCCCCCCAGGCCGCTGCTGGGGGAGCTGCTGCCGCCGGGTCCTCCGGCCCGCTGGGGGGCGCTGTTCCGGCGCTCGCGCGAGCCGGGCCCCGCCCAGCGGCTCCTCGAGGCCTTCGCGCGTGCGCCGGGCCCCGAGGCGCCCCCTGCCGGACTGTACCGGGACTTCCTGCGCCGCTGCCACGCCCTGCCCGGCTACGGGTGAGGGGGGACACCCCGAAAGGGACACCTCAGTGGGACACCCCCCAGTGAGAGATCCCCGGGGGACACCCCAAAAGGGACACCTCAATGGGACACCCCCCATGGGACACCCCCAATGGGACACCTCAATGGGACACCCCCCAGTTAGAGACCCCCGGGGGACACCCCAAAAGGGACACCTCAATGGGACACCCCCCATGGGACAGCCCCAATGGTACAATCCCCCCGGGACACCTCAATGGGACACCCCCCATGGGACACCCCCAATGGGACACCCCCAATGGTACAATCCCCCCGGGATACCCCCCATGGGACACCCCCAATGGTACAATCCCCCCGGGACACCTCAGTGGGACACCCCCCATGGGACATCCCCCAGTTAGAGACCCCCGGGGGACACCCCAAAAGGGACACCTCAGTGGGACACCCCCCAGTGAGAGACCCCCCGGGGGACACCCCGAAAGGGACACCTCAATGGGACACCCCCCATGGGACACCCCCAATGGTACAATCCCCCCGGGACACCTCAATGGGACACCCCCCATGGGACACCCCCATGGGACACCCCCCATGGGACACCCTCAATGGTACAATCCCCCTGGGACACCCCCATGGGACACCCCCCATGGGACACCCCCAATGGTACAATCCCCCTGGGATACCCCCCATGGGACACTCCACCATGGGACACCCCCCATGGGACACCCCCCAGTTAGAGACCCCTGGGGGACACCCCAAAAGGGACACCTCACTGGGACACCCCCCATGGGACACCCCCAATGGGTCACCCCCCATGGGACACCCCCAATGGGTCACCCCGCATGGGACACCCCCCATGGGTCACCCCCCATGGGACACCCCCAATGGTACAACCCCCTTGGGACACCTCAATGGGACACCCCCCATGGGACACCCCCAATGGGATACCCCCCATTGGACATCCCCCCCCCGGGACACCTCAATGGGACACCCCCCATTGGACACCCCCCATGGGACACCCCACTGACACCCCCAGACCCCCGTGGAACCTCACAAAGACCCCTCCCCAGGACCCCTGCAGACCTAAGGGACACCCCCAGGTACCACCCAGACACCCCCTGATTGACGGGGAGTCCCCCAGATCACCAGAGAACCCCAAAAGAGCCCCCCGTGCCCCCACCCTGCCCCCCAGGAACATCAAATGAGCCCCACAGGGGCCCTCCTTGGCACCCCCCAATATCTGAGCCCCACAGACTCCCCCAGACCCACAGTGACCCCCCAGGACTCCTTCTAGACCCCCAAGTTCCTCAGCATCGTTTCCCCCCCAAGTGACCCCACCCTGCACCTGGGGACTCAGGAATTTGGGGGGAAGCGGAATTCGGGTTTGGGGGTGACCCAGGTGTGTCCCACCCCCCTCCAGGTGCGCGTTCTTCCCGGGAGCCATTGAGCGGCCGTCGGGGGGGCTGCTGGGCCGGGGGGGGCTGCGCCCCGTCAGCGTGGCCGTGGGGCTCGAGGGGGTCACCATCATTGACCCCCGCCAGAAGGTACTGGGGGGGTCTGGGGGGCAGTTTGGGGGGCAGGGGGGCCCTGTGGGTGACCCCCCCGTGCCCCCCAGCACGTGCTGCTGTCCCTGACGTACCCCGAGCTGTGCTGGGAGCTGGTGGGGGCCGTGGGGCAGGACGGGGACCCCGCGGGGCAGGACGGGGACCCCACGGAGCCCCCCCAGCTCTGGCTGGAGTTCGACGGGGACCACGAGGGAGCCCCCGTGAACCGACTGCTGCGGGTGTTCTCCCCACAGGTGCGACCACGGGGGGGCAAGTTGGGGGGAGCAGGGGGACGGTTTGGGAGCGCTTTGGGGGGCAGCTGGGTGGGGTCCCTGGGGGATCCTTTTGGGAGTGTTTGGGGCTGGTTTGGGAATCCTGGGAGCGTTGGTTTGGGGGTGTTGGGGGACAGTTTGGAGGTGCCAGGTGTGGATTTGGGGGTCTTGGGATGACCCCAGGGGTGTTGGTTTGGGTATCCCTAGGGTATGCTAGAGGCTCGGTTTGGGGGTCTCTGGTGTGGATTTGGGGTCCCTGGGGAGCTCCCAGAGGGGTTTGGGGGTGCCTGGGGTGGGTTTGGGGGTCTCTGGTGTGGATTTGGGGGTCCCTGGGGGGGTCCCAGAGGGGTTTGAGGGTGCCTGGGGTGGGTTTGGGGGTCTCTGGTGTGGATTTAAGGGTCCCTTGGAGGGGTCCTAGAGGGGTTGGGGGTGCCTGGGGTGGGTTTGTGAGTACTGGGGGGGGTCTAAAAGGGAGTGTATTGGGGAGGGGGGGTTTGGAGGGTTCCCGAGGAGGGTCCCGGGGGGTTTGGGGGGTCCCTGGCGGGGTCCCGGGAGGTTTTGGGGGTCGCTGGTGGGGGTCCCAGAGGGGTTTGGGGGTGCCTGGGGTGGGTTTGTGAGTACTGGGGTGGGTCTAAAAGGGAGCGTATTGGGGAGGGGGGGTTTGGAGGGTTCCTGGGGGGGTGCCGGGGGGTTTTGGGGGTCGCTGGTGGGGGTCCCAGAGGGGTTTGGGGGTGCCTGGGGTGGGTTTGGGGGTCTCTGGTGTGGATTTGGGGGTCCCTGGGGGGGTCCCAGAGGGGTTTGGGGGTGCCTGGGGTGGGTTTGTGAGTACTGGGGGGGGTCTAAAAGGGAGCGTATTGGGGAGGGGGGGTTTGGAGGGTTCCTGGGGGGGTCCCGGGGGGTTTTGGGGGTCGCTGGTGGGGGTCCCAGAGGGGTTTGGGGGTGCCTGGGGTGGGTTTGGGGGTCTCTGGTGTGGATTTAAGGGTTCCTTGGAGGGGTCCTAGAGGGGTTGGGGGTGCCTGGGGTGGGTTTGTGAGTACGGGGGGGGGGTCTCCAAGGGAGCGTTTTGGGGAGGGGGGGTTTGGAGGGTTCCCGAGGAGGGCCCCGGGGGGTTTGGGGGGTCCCGGGGGGGGTCCGGCCGCGCTGACAGCGCCCCCAGGCGGAGCTGATGAGCGCCCTCATCGAGTGCTGCATCGAGCTGGGCGGGGCGGCCCCGCCCCCCGAGGAGCAGGCCCCGCCCCCCACCGCCCAGGCCCCGCCCCCCGCCGCCGAGGCCCCGCCCCCCGAGCCGGCCGGCGCGCGCGGCGCCCCCTTGCGGCGGCAGCAGAGCGTGACCCGGCCCCGCCTGCAGCGCCTGGCGACCATCGACTACGTGCGGGAGGGTGCGACAGGCGACAGCGGCGACAGCGGGGACAGCGGGGACATGGGGGACATGGGGGGACATCCGGGACATGGGGGAGATCCGGGACATGGGGGAGATCCGGGACATGGGGGGACATCCGGGACACGGGGGAGATCCGGGACATCCGGGACATGGGGGACATGGGGGAGATCCGGGACATCCGGGACATGGGGGACATGGGGGAGATCCGGGACAGCGGGGAGATCCAGGACATGGGGGGACATCAAGGACAGCGGGGACATGGGGGGACATCCGGGACATGAGGGACATCTGGGACATGGGGGAGATCCGGGACAGCGGGGAGATCCAGGACATGGTGATCAGAGACATGGGGGACACTGGGGAGGTGGGGCACATCAGGGACATCAAGGACAGTTGGGACATGGGGGGACATCCAGGACATGGGGGAGATCCAGGACATGGAGGGACATCAAGGGCAGCAGGGACATGGGGGGACATCCAGGACATGGGGGTGATCTGGGACATGGGGGACATCTGGGACAGGGGGACATGTGGAGACATCCGCGATATGGGGGAGATCTGGGACATGTAGGACACTGGGGACATCAGGGAGTTGAGGGACATTGGGGACATGGGGGACAGGGGGACATCTAGGACATAAAGGACAGTGGGGACATGGACGGACAGGGGGACATGGAGACACACACAGAGCTTCTGGAGGGGGATGGGGGCATGGGATTGAGGAGGGGGACACGGGAGTTCACAGGGGACATGGGGGACAGGGACCTTGGGGGGGGAACATGGCACTGGGGAGGCTGAGGCGCTTCCTGCCCTAATCCCACCCCGGTGTCCCCCCCAGGGCAGGAGCTGCGGCGGGTGAAGCCCCCCCGGCGCTCGGTGTCCTTCTTCAGCCGGGGGGGGGCCGGGGGTGGCTCCTACAGCCCCGTGGCGGGGGGCACGGGGGGCGCCGGCTCCGAGCAGGGCTGAGCCCCCCTGAGCCCCCCAAACCCCTCCCAGACCTCCCCCTCTTTGTACCCACACCCCCAATAAACTGCCCTGCCCCCCCCCCCCCTCCCCAGGCTGGAATTTGGGGCCTTTGGGGCAAATTTGGGTCGATTTGGGGCTAATTCAGAGCAGTTTGAGGCAGTTTGGGGATGATTCAGGGTGGTTTGGGGCAGATCAAAGCTGATTCAGGGCGGTTTGCAAATTATTTGTGGTTAATTTGTGGCAGTTTGAACTAGTTTGGGATATTTGGGGCTGATTTTAGATAATGCAGTGAATTTTCCAGCAGGTTCCTGGGGGGTCTGAGGCCACTTTAGTGGAGTTGGGACATTTTGGGGCCAGTATTGGGGGAATTGGGGCCTATTCCAGGCAGCTTTTGGGGCCTGTTCAGGGGGGTTTGGGACAAGCTGATGCAGTTTGGGGCCAGTTTTAGGGGTTTTGGGGCCAGTTTTGGGGGGTTTGTAGCCAAATGGCGGCACCACGTGACAGCGGCCATTTCGGGCTGGGGCCTCAGGGCCACACGTGTGTCACACATGTCACACATGTCACACATGTCCCCTCTGTCAGGGGTTCCTGTGCTGGGGAGAGTCCCCCTCATTAGCCCTAACGAGACCTTTGGGACAAATTCCACCATTTTTGGGGCAAGTCCTACTGATTTTGGGGCATCGCTCATTGTCCATTTGGGACCTTCACAAACCCACCCAAAATCCCCCCATTTCACTTTTTAACCCCATTTCCCTCCCCTTTCCCACCCAGCAGAGCTGCGTTTATCCAAAATATCACATTTTCTACACATAAACCCCACACGCCTCCATTCTGCAGCAAAACCGCCTCAGTCCCGAATAATTTCATTTTCTTAAGGTGCTTTTTAGAAATCAAAGGATTTTTTAAAGGAGATCGGGTGAGAGTTTGGTGCTGTGGGAGGGGTCGGTGTTACTGGGACCTTAAAGACACAGAGGAACTGCTCTGAAATCCAACATTTACAAACGAAAAAAATGAAGAAAATACAAATATTCTATAGGATAAATAAATGTTTTGGAATAAATGTTCCTGTGGGGAGGCGCCATTTTGGGGGGAGCGGGTTATGGCCGAATAAAATGAGATTTTCTGAGGGAAATAAGACATTTCTGAGGTAAAACTTGCCGTTTCTGAGGCAAATTGGGAACTTTCTGAGGGAAATGAAGCCTTTTTGCTACAAATCGGACATTCCTGAGGGAAGTAAGACATTTTCGAGGCAAACAGGGTATTTCTGAGGCAAATCGGACACTTCTTGAGGGAAATCAAACATTCTTTGAGACAAACCAGACATCTCAGAGGGAAATGATGAGGTAAAACCAGACATTTCTGAGGGAAATGGGTCATTTTCTGACGGAATTCAGCCATTTCTGAGGAAAAGATTCCCTCAAGGAGCTCGAGAGATTTTCCTGAAGGAACTCGAGCTTTTCTGAGGTAAAACCAAGGAGAAAAGGGTGGGTTTTTTTTAACTTTTTCCTCTCTCCGGACGCTTTTCCCCGCCCAATGCGGAGAGGCCGCAGCGATGGCGACTGCGCCAGAGCCGGGGGCGGGGCCAGAGAGGGGCGGGGCCTCGTGTGACCCCGCCCACATACGCGTCACCTCTGATCCTTCCGCGGTCCTTTCACTTCACCCTGGATCCCTCCGCCGAATCCCTCCGCGGCCGCTCCCGCCCCCAAAATCTTTTTTTTTTTTTTTTTTTTTTTTGCCTGTAAATGGGCGTGGGGGAGGGGCGGAATGAAAGTCGGGGTTGTGGGGGTGGGGAACGAGAGGGGGGAGGGGGGTCTGAGCCCGTTTAGCGGCGGTTTGGGGGGAGGGTACGAAATTAAGTCCCCCCCCACCTCGCACGCGCCCCTTTTCGCGGGGTAATTTTTGTGTGAAAAGTCGCTAAAAAGCGTCGAGTTCTAAAAAACTTGGAAGCCTTAAGGAAATTCTGGGTTTAGAGTAAAGAATTGAGGCGGTTTTGCCTCAAAAACCCACGGGGAGAGTGGAGCGGCAACCTCCCACTTTGGGTTAAAAAGCGGCCATTTGGGTTTTAAAAGGACCTGAAAAAGCTTAGTGGTGATTTTTAAAGGCAAAACCTCTGTCCTGTGCCTCAAAAATGGCTTCCAGTCAGCTTAAAGTGATGTTAAGGCTATTTAGAAGTTTTCGTGTTATCCTAGCTTTAAAAAAAAATCTCAAACTGATTTTTTATTCTATTTTTTTTTTTTCCTAAGAAACACCTAAGATTTGGTAAAGAGCATCTTTCCATAGGAAATGCTTTAAAATGGCCTCTCCAGGCTCAGCTCCTGAAGAAAAAGCAGCTTTTGGAGTATTTTCATGCAGAAAGCATGTACTTTGGACATGTCAGAGTTGCTAATTTAGATTTTAAATTAGGGCTTAAACCAGCTGCAAATGGATTAATTATTGCTGTAAAAATTATCATTGAGATAAACCTTCCCTAAAATCAGGGTGTTTTTGTGGGACGCCTTTTCCAGCACTTGAAATGGGGGGAAAAAAAATTACATTTGAGAGCTTTAATGGTGGAATAATCCAGAACATAATGAACAACAATAAGGAAATATTTTTCCCCTGCAGGAAACGCCCCAAAAATGTCGGAAGAGCACCTCCCACACCCCCAAAATGCCTCATTGGTTTCATCAGCAACTTTAATTAGCCCCAGAGCAGCTTTAATGAATCATAATTAAAGGGTTGGGAAGGGGGGATCGTCCCCTCCCTGCCAGTACTTTTGGGGTGTTATTTCCTGCCCGGAAACGCCTCAAAAATGCTGAGAAAAGCACCTTAAAATACCTAAAAAATGCCTTAAAATGCCTCAGAATAGTGAGGGTTTAGTCCCCTGATTGAAAACAGGCACTTCCATGACTTGGCGTGGCCTGAAATGGGGTGAAACACGGGGATTTTGATGCATTTTTGTTGTAAAAAAAGGAATAAAAATGGTGGTTAGGACTGTGCTGGATCAGGGTGAAAAAAGGGTTTTAAAAGGGTTGTTTGGGGCTTTTTGGGGAACAAAAGTGGTGAAAATCGGGGTTTTGGGGTCTGTGTTCCCTCAAGAACTCTTTTTTTTTGCCCCTTTTGAGGAGGAATGGCGCCTTTTTGGCAGCGGCCCAGCCCCGTGACGCAGCAAAAGCAAAATCCGGAATAAAATGAATGAATAAAAAAAAAAAAAAATAAAAGCAGCTCTAAAACCACCCGGGAAGGTCGCAGAGAGAGATTTTAGGGCAGAATTGGCCAAACCGAACAAAAAAATCGTTGTTAAATTTAACCATTTTCGTGCTGGCCGAGGGGGGGATGGGAGGGGGAGCGCGGTTTGTGAGGGGAAAAAAATCAAAGAAAAGGGTAAAAAATGAGAAATAATGAAAAAAGAGGCTTTTTCACTCTGGGGGCGGTGGGTTTGGGGGCGGTTTTGGGGGCTGTTGCCCTTTTTTGGCGATTTTAGGGACTATTTTGTCGCCCCCGCGGGGCCCTTTATAACGACGGGGCAGCGCCGGCAGCGCCCGGCCGGGACCCAGCCCCGACACGGCCCAGAGCTGCTCGATTTTATCCAAAAACCTTCTAAAAACGGCTTTATTTCCTGCCGAGAGCTCAAAAAATGGCTTTATTGCTTACCGAGAGCTCAAAAATGGCTTTATTTCCTGCCGAGAGCTCAAAAAATGGCTTTATTGCCGACAAAAAGCTCTTAAAGCTGCGATATTTTATATAGAAAGAGCTCCTAAGAGTGCTTTTTTCATAAAAGCGGCTCCTAAATCTTTATTTAAAGAAAAGAGATGAAAGCGGTTTCCTTTAAGGAAAACTGAGCTCTTAAAGCTGCTTGCTTTCAATTTAAAAAATCCTTAAATTGCGGCGATTCCAGTAATGGGAAAAGCCGGGGCGAGCCGGGGCACTTATAATTGAAAAAATGAATGAAAAACCGTCTAAAAAGCTCTTAAAGCTGGTTTTTATTTAAACTGAAGCTTCTGATGATGGATTTTAAGAAATCGCTGCTTTCAAAGCAGATTTCTGGGAGAAGAGGCAGCTCTCGCAGCTCTTTAATTCTAAATATATTGTAATATGATATAAAAAGCCGGAGCGAGCTGGGGCGGTTTTAATTTAAAAGGAGCTTTTAAAGCTGCTTTAATTTAAAGAAAGAAAAAGCGCTTGATACGCTGTTTTCTGCTAAAAAAGCTCCTAATTTTTTTTTTTTTTTTTTAAAAAAGCTCTTAAAGCTTAAAATAATGTAGTTTTTGTCCCCACGTGGGGCCGGGCCGGGCAGCGCAGGCGGGGGCGGCCGGTTTGGGGTGAAATGCGGCATTTTCAGACGCAGGATGGATTGAGAGGAGCCAATTTTGAGGGAAGAGCAGGAAAACTGAAGAGTGAAGATGGAATCGGCAGGGAAAGGAAAGTTTTTCTTCGCAGTGGCCCCATCTGGGGGGAAAAAAGGACTTTTTGGTAAAATGGCGGCAGTTGGGCAGGGGAGGAGCAGAGAGAAGAGAGGAAAAAAGGACAGAAAGACAGAAAATAGAACAAAAAAAAAGGAGAGAAAATAGAAGAAAATCAGAAAAAAAATTAGAAAAAATTAGAAAAAAAGAAAACAGAAAATTGAAAAAACAGAAATTGGAAAAACGAAAATTGAAAAAGCATAGAAAAAATGGAAAAATAGAAAATAGAAAAAAAAAGAGAAGAAAATTGGAGAATAGAAGAAACTAGGAAAAATAGAAAATTTGGGAAAATAGAAGAAATTAGAAAAAAGAAAATCGAACAAATAGAAAATAGAAGAATATAGAAAAATAATAGAAAAGTGAAAATAGACTGTATATAAATAGAAAAATTACAATTGGGAAAAATGAAACTAGAAAAAAGAAAATAGAAAATTATAGAAAAAAAGAAAAAACCAAGTGCTGAAAAATTGAGAAGATGGAAGTGAAAGAAAACAGGGAAAAAAACAGAAGAGAGAAAATAGAAGAGAATAGAAGAGAGGAAAAATGAGAGAAAATCAAAGAGGATTTTGAGGAGAAAATAGAAGCGAAAATAATGAAAAAAAGAAGGATAAAGGGAGGAAAAAGGAAGAAAAATCCCGATTTGGGTCCCGGAGCCAGGAAAATTGAGGAATTTGAGGAAAATGCCCCAAAAGGAGCCGGAGGCAGCGGCCGGGTGAGGCCCCACCCCCCACGGGGGTTTGGGAATTTTGGGGGGATTTGGGGGGTTTTGGGGTTCTGTCGTTTCAGGCGCCGCCGCCGTCGCCCCTTCCCCTTCCCCCTTTTTCTATTAAACTCCCCAGAAATGGGGAAAACCCCCCAAATTCCTCCAGCGCCCTCCGGCTCCGCCGCTCCCGCCGGCGCCGCTCAGTAAGTGTCCAAAATCTTTTGTTTTTAACCCAAAGGCGTCGCGCGGGAGGGGCCGGTGATAAAAAAAAAAAAGGGAGAGAAATGATAAAAGAAATGTTTTGTATTTTTTTGGGGGGGGTGGGGAAAGGGGGAGGGGGTGTCTCGAGTGTTTTTCCCCTTCAGGGAAGCAGCAAAACGCAGGGAAAAAAGGCAAAAAAACGGTGAGAAAAAGCCGAGGAAAGGGAAAAAAAAGAGAGGATTTAACCAAAAAAGGCCAGTCTGCACTCAAAACGCGCTCAGGAGATTCCGACAGGGATTTGAGGAGAAAACCCCCAGAGCTGGGGAATGCAGAGAAGTAAGAGTCGATTTTATTTTATTTCATTTTTTGGGGAGGTCGGTTTTTGGTGGGAAGGGGGCGGTTTTGGGGTGTTTTCCGCCCTTTCCGCAGCCGCAAGTGAGAGGAGGCAGCAGCAGCAAAAAGAAGCTTTTTTGCCCCAAAGTGAAGCTGGAAGAGCAGGAATTTGGCTCCAGGAGCTTTCCTTAGGAAAGAAAAAAAAACCGTAAAACTCCCCCAAAAACCCCGTGGAGGGAGGGGCTGGAGCAGGCGTGGGGGGAGGGGACAATAATCATGTTTTCAGGTTTTTTCTCCAAAACCAGCAGCAGGAATGCTTAAATTTAGACTTTTGTCCCCAAAACGAGTAAGTGTAGGAGCGAGCAAGGGGCGGGAGCCTCG